TCATCCCTATAATGACTTTCCGGAAGCTCTGCAAAATACCCATCTACGGCTATAATAGCTTCTGCATTCTTCAGTTGCATTGTTGGGTTGCCTAGGCCCAAGACCGTGTGAACATGCTTAATAAGTTTCCAACGATTGTTCATGCATCATCTTTAGACATAGTTTTAATATGCACATTTACATATGTACGAGTATATACAGCTTCTTGTTGCGAAATGAAACTGAATTCGCCAGAGCGTACCAATTTAAGCGAAAGAGAGGGGTCAATATTTTTTTTTTTACTTAAATGAATTTATATTTCATTAAAATATGTGCAGCGAGTGAGCAAGTTTTTTTATGTAGTGCAGCATAGAGTGGATTTTAATGAAACACAAGTTTAATGATGACGTATGTATGTATGTATGCATCAAAATGTTCATGACTCTGATAAAAATTGATTGCAGCATTTAACCTTGAGAGCTCTTGAAACGCCGCAGTTTAACATCACCGTTGTATGGCACTTAATTTTTATTATAATTTTTTTTTTTGCACTTCAAGTTCACTCATAACAGTAAGAAGAATGCACTCGGCGCCATTGTCTTTTGCCCATTTGGGGTTTTTCTTTGCATTTTTTGAGAATGTTTTTGGAATTTTCTTATGTGGATTTAGTTTAACCCAGTCTCAAAGTGAAATTCTAGAATATTTAAATATTTAAAAAAAAAAGTTGGTATTACTCGCTATTAATTCTTCTTATTTTCTGGCGTAGGCACCGCAGTTCTTCCTTCTTTACGCTGTTTGGCTTCATACCAAGTGAAACCACGCAGCTCTTCAGCTCATTCTTCCAATGGCGCAGATCTTTCTCCTCTACTGCTTCCCCTAGCGAGTACTGCATCGAATACTTTCATAGCTGGAGTGCTTCCATCCATTCGGGCGACATTATCTAGCCAGCGTAGTCGCTGTCTCTTCATTCGCTGCACGATGTCAATATCGTCATATAAGTCGTACAGCTCATCGTTCCATCGTCGAAGAATGCTTCAGTTCACTCATCGGGTGTCGAATGACGAATCGTTCATATAGTGGGACGAAAATGATGAGCGGCTTGTAGAGTTTGGTCTTCGTTTGTCGAGAGAGGTCGGCAAAAGTGATTCCGCGCTGAATTTCCAAGCTGGATGTGTTGTTGTTGTTAGTTCCAAGATAGATATTGTTACGTAAGACTTCAATGTTATGACTGTCAGGAGTGCCGTGGGGGCCTAGTCGCGGATGCGACGACTGTTTGTTTGCTGACAGGAGAAATTTCGTCTTGTCCTCCTCGTTCGTTACTCGACCTATATGCTTCGCTTTCTTAATCAGTCTGAAGAAAGCAGAACTTACAATAGCAGTGGTATACTCTCTTTAAAGTTTGTACCTTGTCTTTTTAGCTCTACATCTCCTATTATTTTCTTCAGCATCAAAATGAAGAAATCACACGATAAAGAGTCTTACTGTTCTGGTATTGTCCAGCGTCAGATTACATAGCCGTTTATGTTTTGAAGTTTAAGGATACCAAATTTTAACATAATATAGAGGCAGCTCCTAGGTAATTTCCAAGATTTGGCAAATATTGAATATCCGGTCAATGGTATATTTTCCAGGTCTAAAGCCACACTGACGAGGTTCAATTAACTTTTTTTTTTACGGTGGACTTTAGTCTTACATACAATACGCTCGGTTAGGGGCCTAATGCGGTATTTAGGAGATACTTGGTGCGCATCGTATGTCGCCGGTCGTCTTTTTTATGGATCGGACAGAGCAATCTTAGGTTGCAATCCTCGGGCATGCTTTTGTCCGATCATATTCTGGAAAGAAGCTTATCGAGCAGCTTGCCAATTTTTCGCCGCCATACTTGAATAACCCTGTCTGTAGGGCGTCAGCTCCAGCCGCTTTGTTGTTCTCTAAGCGGGTAATCTTTATTCAAATCTCATCATAGTCGAACAATATAACGTATTCATCATCGATTGAGATTTTGAGCTCACCATCTCCGCGTGTTGCGCTTTCATTGGCATACAGCCAGGCTGAAGAAGTGTGCCCTTCATACATCAATCATACTCTGAAGATTTTCATCTCCCCTTTGATCTTTGATCTTTTCTTCTAAAATTGCAAATTATTAGACTTTGAACCAACTCAGAATTATTATTATCATTTAGTTTTAAGTAAAAGTCATTAACGCATTAGACATTAGATATTAATTTGTACATACTTACATACTTTCTAAATAAATATATACATTATGTATGTATATAATGATAATATTTTTTTATAATATATTTTCTGCGCATCGTTTAACCAACTTCTACGAATATCACGCCATAAACAGTGTGATGTGTCAATAAATTTTCCATTAAAAGATCACAATTCAAATGTCAATATACGAGAAAAGCGTTGTATCTAACGAGCAAAGTGTAAATAATAGTTAGTTACTGCTTTTTCATTTTCTCTCTTTTTATTTTGCAAATTCAACTCGTTTACGTGTAGATACTTCTGAGTGCAATCAGCATGATTCGTAATTAAGTCAACGGATGGAATGTGCTAATTAAATACCATCATTATCTATTAGCATTATTACTCTGTGGGTCATGTTATGTGCTAAAATTAGCATTGGGCACGCGGCTTCATTCATACATTAACCACTAAGACACGAGCCAATCACCTCAGCGTAACACCAACAAACAATCACTCCATATCAACCACACCTCAATGCAATTGCATGGAAATATTTAAAGAAGAGTTGCTAACTGATATACTTCAGTACAATACGTACATATGTACATATATATATACATTTATTTTTTCAATTGAGTCTTGCATTTAAGAAATAAAGGGCTTAATGTCGTTTTTTAACTGATTGAAATAACTTCGGTTTTTCTTTTGTTTTTTGCTGTGGACTAATGAGGGGTAACATTTGAGAGCCATTGTATGTTTGAGTTGAGGTCTTGCATGGGTTTATTCGGGGGAAAAATGTACATTTTCTATAGATTTTTAAAATCAATAATATAGCATTTTTTTAACTATTAACCGTATTTTAAAGATATACATTTTAAAAAGAGTTTCTGAAAATTTTCAAAGAAAAATCTTAACAACTCCACCATTGTGACGTTATTTCCTGTGGCCACTCGAATGAAAAGTGCATCTGCGTGGGTAGTAGAACTCATGACAGGTTCATCCAAAGTGAAAAGAAAAGGAAATTGTAATTTAGTTAATACCAACAACAAGAATTGGGATGAAAAAAAAATCAAGAAAGAATATCATGCCATGACGAAGTCTTTACAGCTTTTATGACCATATTTTATTTCATTTAGGTGTTAATTATTTTAAATATTAATCCTCATAGCTGAAAAATTGGTGGAGTGGACTAAAAAATGATGTTTTCCAACGTGTAGAATATAAAATGCTATTTTTGAGGAGTTTTTACAAAACCTCTTGTCTGAACCCATCAGTTGTATGTGGGCCAGATGTTATAGTCGTCCAATTTCTATGATTTTCGGTAACAATATTTATTTTTAATATGAACTTATAACACCAAATAACCTGAGATGCTTCTTTGACGGAGTTTTGACTAAATTCTCTTATCTGGAAAAATTGTTGTATAGGAACTACATTTTGCAGCTATCCAATTGTGATAAATTCCGGCACCAATATGTAATCCATCATGTGCGCAGAATATCAAATTTCACCATCTTAGATGATTTTTTGAAAAATATATAATCCAAAATTTCAAATCTGAAAAACTCGTCATATGGTCGTATAGAAGCCGTAGTAGTCTGATCTGGCCGGTTCATACAACTTCATCATTCTAACCCGATCGATATATATTTTTATGGGTCGTATATCTTCTACTCTGGGAACTAACAGAGGTGGGATAAAAAACAATATGCCATTCTATGTACATAAAAAGTATAAAAATTTGGTTTTTTGAAGCTGTGAAACTCAGGCAACCCCTCTAGTGGATTTTTGTGATTTCATGAACGATCTTCAGTTACTCTTTAGAATGCGAAGAAAGGAAATCCATGTTGTGGTTTACAAAAAAGTTATTTATGAACTTTTCTTTAGATTACCCAGCTAAACAAATTAAAAGAATATATTCATACAATTTTCGATAAAAACATAAATTTTATGAATTTTTGAAAAATAAAAGGAAAATAAATTTTTTTTTGGAAATATATTTTTTATTGTTTTATGTTATTTATTTATTTGTAATTCTCTTTATTAATTTTTCTTTTTATTGTTATTTTCATTAATATTTCAGTAGTATATCCTCCGAATTTGGTTATTTCAAAGATGAATTCATAAGAAGATATCGGTTTAGTGCAAAAAAAAAACATATTTCTCAACTTTCGATAAAATTGATCTTAGATTTTGTGTTTTGAGGCTTTTGGCTTAAAAAAGATATATGCAATTTTTTTAGAAACCTGGCCCAATTCATTATTTCACCGAAAATTGAACGAGAAGTACAAAAAGTTTAATAAGCGTGGGACGGTTAAGATTAAAAAAAAAATGGACCTTGTTATCCATTATTAGTTATTATTTTTATTTATTATTTTTTTAGAAGCACTTTTTTTCTGCTGGTGTACCTTAAAACATATCAGCATTCAGTTCAAAATTACTTCAAAAAATCTCATCAGCAATTTTTTTTTATTTTTAGTCATGTTTTATTCGTTCAGAAACCACAAATGATAGAGATCGGAAACTTACAGCATCGAATTATCATTTTGGTAACAACATTTCCTAAAGTTATGAACCCTTTAGCCTTCTGGGACCGACTCTTTATATTTATTTTCCTAAATCCCTTACTTACTTTTTTACTTACCGCTCTTTCGAAAGTAATGAAATCGTATTTATTGTTGAATATTAAAAATTTTTATTATATAATAAATATATTGGCATATATGTATATATACGCTTCTTTCATTAGATTATTCCGTATAATTATTTTCTAAATAACTTATCTAAAACAAATTCTTCTTCCTATTCTCAACCACTTTCAGGTGTTTTAACGGATATACAAGATGATTTTAAGATCGGTGACGATGATGGTGGTCTACTACAGACCGCCTTTGTACTTTCCTATATGATTTGTGCGCCACTTTTCGGCTATCTCGGCGATCGTTATTCACGTCGTTGGATTATGGCTATTGGTGTACTGTTATGGTCTACAACAACACTGCTCGGCTCGTTTATGGGCAGTTATGGTGGTTTCATAACATTCCGCGCGTTGGTGGGTATTGGTGAAGCCTCATATAGTACCATAGCGCCGACTATAATTTCCGATTTATTCGTACACGATTTACGTTCGAAAATGTTGGCTTTATTCTATTTTGCGATACCAGTGGGCTCGGGATTTGGGTAAGTGTTGTTTTTTTTTTTTTTTGTGAGGGTATTGAATGTTATAAAATTCATAAATTATAAAATATTTTTAATTATTGCATAAGTGTATAAAAAAATAAATAAATACATGCACGTACATACATTCATATGCCTATGTAAATATGTATGCACTATACGTATACTGTTGTATAAAATCCGGATTCAAAGTCGTATATAATATATTTATTTGATAAGAGATTTATTAAAAATAGTTTATGTGCATTATAATTGAGGTTCACATGTACAGATGTACATATGTATGCACATACACACAACAAAACGCAATGTAAAGTTGCGAGCACTGAAATAGCAGAGTGAAGAGCATTGCGTACAAACATTCGGCCGTTCGGGGTTCGAGTCCAGGTCCGGCCAACATCCAAAAATTACAGAAAACTAATTTTACCATCGGTTGTATTGTAGGAGGAGCTCGGCCGAAAATCGTTTCAGCGGTTACAAAGCTGTCTGAGACGGTTTTTCGCAAACAATTTTCGATCGTCGTGAAGCACCTTTTCGGACCGCAATACAGAAATGGGCGGAAAAAATGGAGCTGTTGGGACAAGTTAGTGATGTGAAGAATAAAGCACCTGCACCAAGCTCAAAAACAACTGCAAATATTGCTGCTGTAGCGCAAAGTCTTAAAGGAAACGCAGGTTTACCCATTCTTCACCTTTTTTTTAATTGGGCGATCCACAAATGTCATTACAACGTATTTTGCATATAGAGTTGAGTCTTGAGCCTTTTAAGTTCAGTTAGCACAAGAATTCAACAACGTCGTGCCTTTGCTGATTGGCTCCTTGCAATACATGAAAATGAAAAATCGAAAAATCATCTTGACGAAGAAGGCCCATTTCAACCTCGATGGCTAGGTTAATAAGTAAAACTGTCGCATCAGGGACTCGGATGCGATTTATGGTCTGGCAGGATCATTGGACCTTACCATTTCGAAAATGAGATTGAAGCAACAGTTACGGCGAATGGATTATTTATAGCCGGCATTGTTAGGTATTGATCTGCTCAACGTTTTCTTTCAACGAGACGGCGCTTAGTGCCACACAAGCAACGAAACCATTGATATTTTAAGGGAAACGTTTTCGGACCGGGTTATTTCTCAAAGAGATGATTGCTATGTTGTGATTTAACACCTTGCGACTTCTTCGCTTGAAGCCACGTGATAGATAAGGTTTACGCCAACAAATCAACGTCGATTCAAGATCTCAAAGATGGAACTCGTGAAGGTACTGAGCGCATACAACAGCCACTTTACGATTTGGTAGTGGAAAATACTATAAAAAGGATGCGGTCCTTTGGCGGTCAATATTGTTTTCTATTATATAATGGCGTAAATTTCTCTTTACATTGAAATAAACAACCACAAATAAAACCTCCTATTGGTAAGCTCTGTACTTAATACTGCATAAGTGTGAGTACCAACTGCTATTTTAATGCTCACAACTGTACACATACATATGTATGCATACAACAATACACGTTGAGTCATTCACCTCCACCAAGTTGACTTCTTAATTTAAATCATATATAAATGCATATATCGCGTGATTTACACAGCATTGTGTAACGAAAATTAAATTTTGAATATTTTCTTTTACCACCTCATAAAAGTCTTCCGATCAAATAACCGATCGCGTGCTCTCACACGCGGATTCCCATGGCAAAATATTAAAAAAAAATAATTTAATAAATAAAAAATTAAATAAACAAGACAGGTCAAATAGGCGTTGCCTGCCTTCAATTGAATTAAATTTTTGGTATTTTAATTAACGAAACACTTACAGGCATGGAAAAAAAAAATCGTGAGAGGGTATTTTGAATGCCGTGTCTTCGTGCATTACTCCCCGAGGGTGTGTTGCAGGGCAATTTATATGGGCTGCTCAAGTTACTCGGGCTGCAATAACCGGCTGTTTTCCATCTACATACATATATATGTATGTACATATGTGTGCATTCACAAATTAGATAGGTTGCTTGCCCTCTCTTTACGTCATTCAAAATTGAATATTTTATTTCATTATTTCCCATCGCAGATGTTTTTCTTAATATAAACTTCTAAATTGCACACGTTCAAAAGGTTAAATAAATATGGGAAATATTTTACGATTGACATTGTCAATTTAAATCTAATTCAATTACGATATTTTTACACACAAATTGTAGAAAAGTAATAAAAAAAAGCAACATACAAATATAAATGTAAAATGCAAATATTTTTCACTTTAAAAAATGCAATTGGTGTCTCTTGAATTCTCGAAGCAAACCTCCTGCTTCTTAATCAATGAGAAAAATAATTAAATTTTTTCCCACACTTACATACACGAGCAAATGCACTAAAAGTCAAGGAGAAATTCACCCAATTTAAGCATGTACATACGAATGTATTAGGTCAAGTAAAAAATTCGTTCGTTTTTTTTTTTAATGATTTTTCAAAATATGATAACTTTATGTACATTTGGCTAACGAGATGCTAACTTCATTATACCCCTCTCGGAGAAGGCTGTGTCCCTATTGGCAAGAAACTCGGAGAACCAATTTTCACAGGCCTCTCTTGGAGCCAACTACTCAACATTAAGTGCGTTCGCCATGGACAGGAAAAGATGGTAATCACTGGGTGCCAGGTCCATTAGGACCTCCCATCCGAGCTTCCGGCGAGTCACCAAAGATATGTGTGGCCTGGCGTTGTCCTAATGGAACACAATTCGGTCTCTGCTGATCAAAGATTGCCTCTTTTGGATGAGTACTGCCTTCAAGCGGTCCATTTGTTGGCAGTAGTGGGCCGAATCAAGCGTTTGGCCATAGGGGAGCAGCTCGTAGTAGATGATTCCTTGCCAATCCCACCAAACACACAGCAAAACCTGGTGCATCTTTGACATCGAAATTACCGGAATGGAGCCTAGCAGACCACTTTTGTGCTACACGTTCGTTTACAGTATCGGGCCCATAAACTAAATTAATTTTCTCAGCCGCTTTGGCTGCTTTTTCGCTTTGACCGAAAAAAATTTGGAAAATATAGCGAATTTCTTCTTTGTTGGTGTCCATCTTTGACCAGCGCTCACAACGTACTGAGTGAGTCAATCGAATAACTGTCAGAGACAAACTTTTAGCGCGAATAAACGCGCTTTCAGCACCATATAGTATGGCATGATGCGACACGTAACACTGGCATTATAGACAATAACGACATGTCCGAACGAACCGACCGAACGAACTTTTTACTTGACATATGTATGTCAGGAAATGCTTTTACTTTGCTTGCTTTTAATGCACTGAATGCCTAAAGCAGTATTTAATTAAAAGAGCATAAATTATATATTACATAACTCGTGAACGTGTGTGCCCTTTAATTTGTAGAGTCGTTTAATTAAGTGTGATTTGTAATTGATTGATTTCAATTACGTAAATATGTAAGCGTAAATGTACATGCAAATACCTCGTATGAGAGTTGCCTTTTATACTTCGGAGCTAGAGATCAAAAACAAATAAATATTAATCATCGAAAATCACATTATTGCTTTTCAAAATATTCGCCATTAAGATCTAAACTCTTTTGCATGCCTTTGAAGCAATTGGCGAAGCGCTTTTGCCACTCTACTTGAGGAGGAATCTCCAAAACATGCCTTCTGAACGCAATAACCGCCTCTTTGGGTGTCCAAAAATGTTGATTTCTCAGTTTATTTTTTTACTTATCGAAATAAAAAGAAGCCATACCGTGGCAAGTCAGGTCTATACGGTGGCTGACTCATCAATTCGATGTTTTGAATGCTCAAAAACGCAGTTCTTTCAGTCGATGTGTGAGAGTCCTTGACAACTCGGACTCTGAAGAGTGTTAGGTTAGGTCGGCGTAAGGTTTGCCTGAATTCTTGAAAGACAACTGGCCAACGATTGGTTGCGTATCACTCAGAATTTACTGTTCTATGTTGTTCTATTGCTGCGGTTGCGACATGTCCAGCTTTTCCAAAAAAAAAGGCTTGCTTGATGGAAGAGCCTCTTGTCGTAAGAACTTTTATTCGATTCAGCTCAGCTTTAAAAGCCCATATAATCAACTGCTATTTATTTTCGGGCACATACGCGTAAATTCATGATTCATCGTGATGTCACAGACGTGTTTCGAAGCACCGATACCGTATTTTTTTTACGACCAATCGACTCGAGCTTATTTTTTTTTAATCGTTTGACAAATTGCATGGGATCCCACGAGAACAATTTTTTTTACAGTGAAATGTTCATACTTTATTGAATGTAATGCTAGACCCACTGATGCTTATAGTAGTTGTCTCAGTCCGACGATAGGCCCAGCTCAATGGTTTCCCAAAAGACCAACTAAATTTCAACGAAGTACCCAAAATTCCGAATGAAGGGAATGATGGGCCTTCATCCCCAAAAATTGAATTAAGTTCATCGATGCACTGTTGCTGGTCTAAGCCACGTCGAAAGTTGCAAAAAATAATATCGCGAAAATGTTGGCGATTTATTTACATTTTCTTTCTGAGATTAATATTTTGAGTTGTTGTCAACAACAAGTACAGCCACGTCCTTTTTTAACCGGTATTTCCAATGGAGTGGAGGTCTTCCTTTGCTTCCACCAGCTGCAGTACCCGCTTTCGAATACTTTCAAAGCTGGGGTACTTTCATCCATTCAGACGATATGACCTAGCTAGCGTTTCGTCTGTTTCTTGATTCGCTGATCTATGTCAATGTCGCCGTATATCTCTGCACCCATCGTTCCATTTTCCATCGTCAATGCTTTCGCATCATAAAGCAGGACGGTAATGATGAGGGGCTTGTAGAATTTGGTTTTCGTTCGTCGAGAGAAGACTTTGCTAAAGTAGCACCTGTTGGCATGAATGATTCTGCTTTGGATTTGTCGCAGTTTGGACTGCAAGTAACTCGGAAAAGAATTGTACATATTTTTCCTTAAGATATCTTTGTTAAACAAGTCTTCACCTGTTCGAGGGGCATATTAAGGTCTGCTGTAAGCGAAGCTACTCCAATATATACCTCATATCTTCTAGAGTGTACACCAATATTTATGTAAACCTTTAGGGCAGCGAGCTGATCGAGTTTATTGGCAATATTTATGGTGATAATTGGGTCTAGCAACACAGGTCACGAAGAACTTCTTTAGCGGCAGGAAACCCCAGTATTAAAGTGGCTAGTATTGAGCTCAGATCTTAATCCCATGGAGGATTTCTGGGAGACCATATTTTGGGACAACTCTACAGTTATATGCATATTTTAGAAATGTTTTTAAATTATTAAGAGATATACCCAGCAACAAATTTCGTTGGTCAGAAGTGTGAAAAAATACTCAATTTTTATTCTGGAAAATGCATCCGAGGGCTTTTATAATTATACATTTTTTTCTTTTAAAAATTCATACACATAAATTATTATAAGTTATTTATAACTGTTATTCACATATTATATACACACATATATTCATTACAATTTTCTCTCCCTTTTTCCTCTACAGTTACATTGTTGGCTCCGAAACAGCGCGTTTGGCCAACGACTGGCGTTGGGCTCTACGTGTGACACCCATTCTGGGTATTTTCGCTGTTGTGCTGATACTCTTAACCAAAGAACCTGTGCGTGGTGAAAGTGAGGGCTCACAAAATTTGGAACCCACCAGCTACACCGAAGATATTAAAGATTTGGTGAAGAATCATTCGTTTATGCTCTCGACTGCGGGCTTCACATGCGTTGCCTTCGTAACCGGCGCCCTGGCGTGGTGGGGACCGAAATTCATTTATCTAGGCGTCAAAATGCAGCCGGGCAATGAACAATTAACGCTTAATGAGTGAGTATATTAGAATATTAGTAAAATAACAACAAAAAAAATTGAGATTTTTTGCTTTAAAAAAATTCTGCAATATTCTTAATTATTGTAGTTTTTAGTATTTACATATCTGTAAAATTTATATATTTAAAATGAAACTAGCGTATCGTACAAGTTCGGCATTATCGCCATGATAGCCGGATTGATTGGTGTACCCTTGGGTTCGGTGCTCGCCCAACGTTTGCGGCCACGTCAAGAGAGCTGCGATCCATATATTTGCGCTTTTGGCTTACTCATATCAGCACCGATGGTTTACTTATCGCTTGTGACGCCGCAAACCACAACCTCGTTCTGCTTCTTGTTCGTCTTTTTGGCACAGGTGACGCTGAATCTATGCTGGTCCATTGTAGCGGATATTTTGTTGGTAAGAATAAAAGAAAAACCAAAAAAAAAAGAGCAAATCAATGAATGAAGAGGCGAAATGCAATCATCAGCAAATATGTGAAATTTGATAAAAATTAAAAATGGCAAAACATAAACCTCGCCGTCGCCACCAACCACCCACCGCCACTGTCATCTGCTTTGCCGCACTGTTGCTCGTGTGTTTTACTAAAAATTTAACGCGAATGACACAACAAAGCTTGTACGATCGCTAATTGCAACAACTATTAAGGAATTTCTGCATTCAAAATTTGTTTTTTCTAAATATTTTATACATATTTACGCGCGTTTTAAATTTAACACGAGTTTTCTTGTTTAAATGCTTGCCATACAAATTTTTACTAAATTTTTGTTCTTTCTATTTTCTTTATTTTCTTCTTCAACAAAATTATTTTTTCTTTTACTAAAAATCTCAACATACAATCGAACGAAACGTTGCCCTCACGAACTGTTTTGGCGAAAATTTGAACAGCGTTTCGTTACGTTTCGGCATAATTACAATGGTAGCTGGGCTGATTGGTGTGCCACTGGGCCCAATCGTATCGCGTGCCGTGGCCAGTTATAAGAACAACGCCGATCCTTTGGTGTGCGCGTATGGATTGTTCTTTAGCTCGTTTTTCCTTGCCGCCGCAATGATGTTTGTCACAAAATACGTCGTAGCGTCGTATATTTTAATGTTCATCGGTCAATTATGTTTGAATCTGAATTGGGCACTTGTGGCTGATATTTTACTGGTAAGAGAGAGAGATGCAAGAAAGCACAATTTTTAAATACACGTGTTCTGTTGTGGTGGTTTTTTTTTTATTTGTTATTGTAACTTACTACATTCATACTATAATTTTGATTTAAACATACTACAATACATATATACGTAGCAAATGTAAACGTTTTATAAAACACTTATCCATATACATATATGTATAAGCATGTAAATACGCTTAGTGCCTTAATCTGATTATATATTTGGACAGGGTGTTTTTTTATACCAAATTCAAAGATTTTCATTTTTTATCGAGGGTAAAAATCCTTAATTTAAGAAACAAAAAAAAAAAAATATTAAAAATAAATAAAATAAAATAAAAAAATAAAATGAAATAAAAAATAAATGAAATAAAAAATAAATGAAAATAAAATAAAGTAAAATAAAATAAAATAAAATAAAATAAATAAAATAAAATNTAAAGTAAAGTAAAGTAAAGTAAAGTAAAGTAAAGTAAAGTAAAGTAAAGTAAAGTAAAGTAAAGTAAAGTAAAGTAAAGTAAAATAAAATAAAATAAAATAAAAAAGAATAAAATAAAATGAATTAAAATAAAATGAAACAAAATAATAAAATCAAATAAAAAATGAAATAAAATAGAGAAGAAAATAAGATAAAATCGAAAAATTAAATAATAAAAAATAAAATAAAATAAAATTAAATAAATGAAATGAAATAAAATAAGACAAAATAAAATATAATAAAATGAAATAAAATTATATTAAATAAAAAAAATCTAAAAACTAAATTAAATATAAAATCAAGAAAATATAATTTCTAAAAATAAAATAAAATGAAAAAAATAAAATAAATGCAGTAAAAGGAAACCAAACAAAATAAGAAAACAAAATAAAATAAATGAAATAAAAAAAAAAATATATAATAAAAAATAAAATGAAATAAAAGAGAGAAATAAAATAAGATGAAATCGAAAAATTAAATAATAAAAAATAAAATAAAATAAATAAATCGATATAAAATGAGATAAAATAAAATAGATAAAAAAAAAACAAAATAAAATAAAATTAAAAAATAAAATAAAAATAAAATAGATATAAAAAAAACAAAATAAAAAAAGTTAAAAAAATAAAATAAAAATAAAATGAAATAAAACACAAAAATAAAATAGAAGAATAAAATAAAAAGTAAAAAATATATGAAAAGATAAAAGATAAAGAAAATTAAAGAAAACAAAACAAAACAAATCAAAATAAAATAAAATAAGTAAAAAACAAAAAAAAAGTGCAGTCTTCGGTCATACCGAAATCTTTATGCCTTTCATGATCATATCATATTTATGGTATTTCATTTTAGTATTAAATATCTTCAAAATTCGCTGGAGCTGGCTATTTAGTTTTCCCATTTCGAATACCAATTATCGACCAATGATCTCATATCTAAAGAAATCAGTTGTATAGGAGCTACTCATTATAGTCCGCCCATTTCTTTGATTTTCGATGAAAATGTTTATTTGTAGATAAAAAAAGGTATAATACCAATATCAAAAGTAAAATACCAGAAAATAAAATAAAGTAATATAATAAAAATAAAAATTAAACAAAAATAAAAAGAAATTAAATTAAATTAAATATATTAAAAAAATTAATTTAATTAATTTAAGTGAAATAAAATAAGCAGCAATAGAATTCTACTGTAGGCAAAGATATAACCGATGCAAAAAAATATCAATACATCTGAGTTAGACCACAATTCCTGACTCTGCTGTCAGGAAGTCAACTAAATTTAAATTTAGCCATAAAATCTTTGACTTCGGTAAGAAACGCTATATTAAAATTACATACATTTAGCACATTTGCATATACATACATATTTATTTGCACAATCATTATAAATTAATTAATTTTAGTACATTTTACTAACACAAATTTAGCTTATCATCGCTATTATTTTTAATATTCTATAAAAAAATTAATTTTTAAAATTATGTCATCGTTAAGAACCTTAACTTTTGATTTTATATACATATTTTATAATGTAGATAAACAAGCTTTTATATAGTGAATTTCCGTCAGAAACGCAACAAAACATAATTAGTTTAAGTACAAGTTGAATGGATATTATTTATAGCATATTTTACATATATTAATTATTTTTTTTTTTTTATAAATTTGAATTTTTGCTATTAAATTGTATTTAAATCATAATTTATCAGTAATTAAAAAAAAATAGAAATATTTTATTGCATATTTATATATGTACATAAATCAAGAATAATCAGCTTAGTTGCTATTTTTTAATGCAAAAAATCGTTTGCTATTATTTACTTTATTTTAATTAAACACATTTATCATTATCAAATTCTTAAATATATGAATGCGTTTGGTTGAGTTTTATTTGACGCCAGCGTAAACGCACTCACTCATGCACTTACTCACCACCCCCCACCCAACAAACTTGGCACCCTCACTTGTGAGATTGCGAAAGTTTTCTCTGCTCCCTTTTTACCACCGCAATACATACTCGTATCTTCGCAATAATAAAGTTTTGCAATTTATTTATATGCCAAAATGAACCAATTTTATCTTCGCTTTGCAACCGAGTTTCAGCAAAGCAAAAAGAAAAAAAAGCGTTTACCAGTAACCATGCATACTCAGACACACATACTCGTATTTATATGTACTTATTACAAAATGCTCCCTGTGGCACTTGCGCTCTCCACCAAACAATGCAGGGACAACAGCGTGAAAATATGATATAATAAATGCAATAAAGTCAAGAGGAATTACTCCCCACTGAGTTGACATACTGCATTTGCACATATTCATATATATATATATCTTTGCAAAGCTTTATTTGCCACGTTCTATGGGTGGACAATGGCGCCAATTCCGGTTGTATATTAAACTCTTCAACTTCGTTTGCATTAATTTTCCGCTTTTTATATTTTTCCCTTGTGAAACATACATATGTTTGTATGTATGTATATTGATGAAATTGTTATACGTGGCTATTAACTGTATGATATTTGTCTTTGCAACCCTCAAAAATTATATGCACACGTGCTTCACTTTGTTATTAAAGGCTCGTCTGCTCTTCTATATACATACATATATATTTTATCGTACATACTGAGCTTTAATAAATAAAATAGATAAGTTAAATATGGAAAAAAATATTTTTGGGCTTTGTAGATTCCTTTGAATGCAGGAGAGCGTAAACCCCATTTAGCTCATCCTCTGGGGAAATCTTTCGTCACTTAAACACAAAAATTTTTGGGGGAGAAGTGGAAGTGGAAGAAATCTCATTTGAAAATTAACAAGCTGTTTCCCTGTAATCTTTGTATAAAATATGATTTTTGACGTTATCCATAAAAAATTATTTACGATTTAGAGATAAAACCGCCACCTTTTGTTTGAGATGTATTAAGCCGCTTAGAAGTTGTTTTTTTTTTTAATATATATTTATGTATCCTAGACTATGTGATCCAATCTAGTCGAACAAAAAATATGTCTTCGTAACAATTTCGGTTGATATATCCTCAAAAACGGAGGGACTAGCTTAAGTACAAACACACAAGCAGACGAATATGGCTAAATCAACTCAACACCGTCGTTCTGATCCGATTGGTATATATCTTGCTGGGTCTCTCCGTTCTGTTGCTACTACCGTATGATGCTCACAGGTTGGGTTGAAGTGACTGCCAATGAGGCTCCCATTTAGCGATCTCACCATCAACCGCTAGTCAATCCAATGTGTGGAATTAAAAGAATGGAGCAATCGATGCAAACACAATTTCACTGAAGTCACCAAAAGTGGCCACCCCTAGAGACGTCAACTTACTCTTCTTTATCTACAACTCATGCAGAAATCATTTGAGGAGACATCTAGTTTCTCTTGCGCGCCTACCTAAACAAAGATGCCCTATTAGAAGACCAGTAATCATGTACTCGAACAACACTGTTCTTTTTTGCTAGATAAGGTCTCTAGAGCTTTTCATGTTCCAAGTCGGCCACATTATTCCATTTACGTTGTAGTAACAAATTATTCAATCATCAGTTCGGATCTACTCTTTTATGATAGCCTTAGGAGATGTGGCCCGCAGTGATCCACTCTTCTCGCGTGCTGACCAATAGATCAATCTCCGGGGTATTGATTGAGTATAGTCCTAACCATATATAATTATAAAGCCAGTAAGCCTTAGATGACATGCATCCACTTCTGGCCAACGGCTCGTTTGCACGTAAAGAGAGTTTTAGATCAACTTAGTTTTATGGCCAGCTTAGTTCCCTATCGATAATGGGTAAAAGGTAGTCTCGTTCCTGAGTTATTAACTGTGGAATCGAAAATAACCAAGGCAAAAACCAGTTCGACTCTAAAAACTCAGCCTCTTTTTTGTCATTTTGGATGAGTCTTTTTCCAAAGACTAATTTTGCTGGAAGATAGTGTGTTTCGATTTCGTTGTATTTCCTTTTCCTTGAGTCATAAGAAAAACGTAACAATCACTTAATCGTACATAATCCTTTTGTTCCGTCAAAGTCATTGGTAGAGCAAATGGCAAATGTCTAAGATGTAGTTTCGCACGACCTAGAAGTATCACACCAGTTACACAGTATTTAGCTGGAACTAAATATTTATCTTAATTCCTCACTAAGATAAAAAGAAATAAAATATTAAGAAAAATAAAATAAAATATGAAATAGGGAATAAAATAGAAAAAAATTAAAAACTATATAAAAAAGTTAAATAAAAGAAAAGAAAATAAAAGTAAAAGTAAAAAATAAAAAGAAATAAAAATAATAATGAAAAGATAAAAATTAAATTAAATGCAAAATCAAATAAAAAATAGTGAAAAAAATAAAAAAAAAATAAAAAGTAAAAGTAAAAAACAAAGACAAAAAATGATAAAAAATAAGAATTAAATAAAATAAAATTAAAAAACAAAATTGAACAAAAAATAAAATAAAAAATTAAACACAAAATGAAGTAAAAAATAAAAATAAAAAAATGCAGTAGAAAATAATATAATAGAAGTGAAAGATGATAATATAAAATGAAAAGTAAAAGTATGATAAAAAAATAAAAGGAAATAAAAAATAATACAAAAATAAAAATGAAATTAAATAAAATGCAAAATGAAATAAAAAATTAAGTAAGAAGTAAAAAAATAAAATAAAATAAAAATTAAAAGTAAAAAAGACAAAAAAATGATAAAAAACAAGAATTAAATAAATTAAATTAAAAAAAAAAAAAAAAATAAACAAAAAATAAATAAAAAATTAAGAAAAATAAAATAAAATATGCAACAGAGAATAAAATAAAAAAAAAAAAATTAAAAATTATATAAAAAAGTTAAATAAAAGAAAAGAAAATAAGTGAAAGAAAATAAAATAAAATAAAAAATAAAAGGAAATAAAAATAATAGAAAATAATAAATAAAAATATGAAAATTAAAAAAAAAAATTAAAAAATAATAAAAATTAAAAAAATAATAAAAATTAAAAAAATAATAAAAATTAAAAAAATAATAAAAAAAATAAAAATGAAATAAAATAAAATAAAAGAAGTGAAAAAAATAAAATAAAACCAATCAAAAATAAAAAAAATAAAAAGAAAAAACATATATAATAAATTATTATATCTTAAAAATTAGCTGGAGCGGCCTATATAGTTTTCCGATTTTGAATACAAAATCACACTTATGCAAGATTTTTTGACTCATGATCTCATATCTAGAGAAATCGGTTATATAGTCTTCCGATTTCGATGTTTTTCGATGAAAATGTTTATTTGTCGACACTCGAAATGCAAAATAGTCTAAATAGAAAAGGTTCAATTGATGATATGAAATTTTGACGCTAAGATTTAATAAATACTCAATGATATAAGTTATCATTTCCCTAGATGACAGTATACATTCTCTATAATCTATGTACCTATGCACATACTGCATATACGCGCATACATATAATATGTATATATGTATGAGCTAAGTACTCGTATAGGAAGAATATCGCGTGTTACCAATCTAGCGAGTGCCAATTATTATCTAATGAGTATTTTAGCCGAAAATTATATTGTCAAGTATACGTGTATCTCTAGGTATAATAGACAATTATGCGAACGGCTATTAAAACAAAAAATTCACAGTTTGTACTTTATTGTTTGACACTTTGCGCTCTCTTACTTTATAAATTTGAATGTGATTATTTTAAAATTTGTCCAATTGACGTTAGCGGCCCTTTTAGTATTTTATTATTTTATGTTAAATAAATATATTTACATACATACATACATAGGTATGTACGACTATGTGCAAATAAACAGATTACATATCTTTTTTTCTACTTCTATTTTAAAATATTTCTTAAACACTTTACGCACTTCAAGGCAAAAAACAAATAATAATTTATATCTGTACATAGCACACTCGTGTCCATTCGTTGGAAAAACATCAAGATGCAAAATTGTTGTTAAGTAATTTCAAAGTATAACTCGTTATATATTGGTCTGGTAAGAAGTAATCCATTATTTTTGAATCCAATTCAAGGATTTATTTACCATACTTAGAATTATCCGATTGATTTCAAATAAGCAACATTTTACTCGATAGCCTTTTGCCATTTGAATGTCAATTATGCCTCCCTCCATTGTGGAAAAAAGTGAGGAAATCGATTTTCACAGGCTTCTCTTGAGACCAATTCTTCACCAGCCAAATGTTGCGCCATAAACAGAAATGATAGTAATCACTTAGTGCGAGGTCACCAAACTCAAAACAAAACCTTCCTGGCCGTCAATCGTGGCTTGGAGACCATTTGTACCGGCTCACTGCCCTTCGACCACGACCGTTTTCATTTGATGTTACTGTAAATGATTCACTCTTTATCACCAATAACCATCTTCCTTAGAAATGGTTCGATTTTGTAACGATTCAGCAGCGTTTCACAGCTGGTCCATGAAGTTTTTTCTCATCAACTCGATGTATGTGTATATACATATTCACATTGTGTATCCAGGCTTTTTCAAGGGGTTCCGAACAGTTTTTTTGTGCAATAATTAGCTCCTGGACAATCAAAACAGTGTTTGTATAATGGTCCGACTCAACGATTTCCATTATTTCATCGATATTTTCGCCTTTTATTTCGTTGGTTAGCTGTATTTTTACTATAACTGTTATAATTAAATGCTTACTATCATTATTTTCTTAACATAATTTTTGCTACTGTCGCATAGCTTAAAATATTTTAAATTATTTTATTGTATATGTGCATATCGCTGCTGAAATATTTAATATGAAATACAATCGATTTTAAATATTCAAAAAATTGTTTTGAATAGCCCAAATGTTCTAGCGTAGAGAAGAACACAAAATTTGAACCACAATAAATTCTTTTTAAATTTTATTGCAGGAACGATATGACATTTAATATCATTTTTATTTAATAACAATGACTTAAATTTATAGTTATAAAACGTTTACATATGCTAAAGAAAAACCTACACACAAACACACGCACTTGCACACTCTTACATACTAACACTTTCGATACGCACAAAATATAAAATTTTCACGATACAAAAAAAGAATTCTTCGCCACATATGAGCCCAAAGAAAGCAAAACAACTCGTTAAATTCAAATCAAATTTTTATAAAACTTCTTCGAAATATGTCTACAACGCAGAATTTGAGTGCGATTATCCAATTGCTATTTATTTGCCTGAAAGTATGCAATATTCTTTTAATAGCATATACAGCGTATACAGTGGTGCCCATAAAATGGTTGTTTCCCCGCTCGCAAACGAATTTTGTTCACTTTCCTGCTGCTGGTTGCATTATCGTCTGCACTTTTATGAAATTGCTTATGTTTATATCCTAAACTTTTACATGACCAGGTGCATGTACAGGATAATAAACATATATACTGCATTATCCTGTACATGCACCCTGTTTTGCAGCACGTTTGTGCATTTATATATACGTGTGTTGCTTTGCTTTCTTTGCGCGTTTCGTGGCTCCATCTGTATACAGCTTTTTGCAACAACAACTGGATTAATAATTTCAGTGTTCTGTGGTTGGGAAAATCTTAAGAATGAGAAATAATACTTTTTTCGTTTTGTTTTGCTCGCTTAATTCGCACAGCTGATTTACGCACATTTAAATTAAACATCTTGAATTTATTTTTGCATAAATAAATGCCTTAATTTGGTTTCACCAAGTAGATAGTAAGTTTTGGGCATAATAAGTACAAAATACACATTTCACACATTCGCTTTTAATTTTTTCCATTTCCATCAAAGCACATAAATATTTGCTGTACGATAATTTATAAATTTTTTTTACTTTCTTTCTTTCTTTCATTAGTATGTTGTGGTGCCGACACGCCGTTCTACAGCTGAAGCCTTCCAAATTCTGCTATCACATGCGTTAGGAGATGCTGGCAGTCCATATTTTGTTGGCTTGGTATGTATAATGTTAAAAGAAATACTTTGGATATACATATGTATGTACATATGTTTATACACATACATATATTGAAATAAATTTGATCAGTAATTCATATAAAGAATTATAAAATAACGTTAAAAGCCTGCTGAATAAATAGTTTACTCTATTCAAAAGAAACCTAACCCTACTTTTTAGCGGGAAATCAAAAATAGTTTTTTATTTGTTTATTAAATAATGTTTTTTCCTTATTTATTTTCTTTATTTATATATTTATTTACTAAATGTTTCATATTACAGCTTTCGGAGGGCATCAAACGCCACTTGCGCACCACCACCACACAAACCAGCGAATTCTCTTTGCCCATACCAAGTATGTCATTGACATTAGAGGACAGCAGTAATGCTACAGCAACAGATTTACTAACAAAAGCTGCCAATTTAATAAGCGATAATGCACAAGCATTGGTTTCAAATGCATCAAGTTTATTACAGCAGAATGCAACAGACTTGCTTCAAACGGATAGAATTCTCGATTTTAATGTAGAAGTAAGTAATGAATTCTAAATTAATTTGCAAATACATAAAGTATATAGTGCAATATATAAGTGATATTAAATATATTTGCAATAATTAACATATTAAAAATTTACTTTTTTAGGATAGCGATTCCAACAATTTCAGAGCGTTACAGTATTCACTCTTTTCGACAAGTTTTGTTGAAGTTTTGGGTGCCGTTTTCTTCTTTTTAACTGCCATTTATATAATAAAGGATAAACGTCGTGCGATGCGTGCCACATTTGGTAAGTTTTTTTTTTGTTTATTTTTTTATTTAATAATATGTGTGTTTTGTACCATTTTTATTTATTTATAAAACGTATTTGAAGCTATCTGCATCTTCGGCTGAATTTTGTTTTATTTCACGATTACAACGATTTTCTGATATGCCTTTTTATTGAATTTTTTATTTTTATTATTTTTTATATTTAATTTTTTTTTATTATTTTTTATATTTAATTTTTTTTTTATTATTTAATTTTTTTTTATTTAATTTTTTATTTTTATTATTTAATTTTTTACTTTTATTATTTGATTTTTATTTTTTGTATTCAATTTAATTTTTAATCTTTTTCTATGCGTTTAACTTATATATTTTTTAAACGTTGTTTTTTTGTTTTTATATACTTTATGCATATATATTTTTTTAAATGCTTTTTATATACATATATTTTCTTATGTTTTAATAAATTGTTTTCTTACATATTATATATTTTGCTTTAGTTAATGAATCAAACGATCTTATCAATACAACTAGTAAAGTTAAAGAATTCGATTTCGAGGATTCCGAGTGTATCGTTCTTTGCACTGATATCACGAGAAATCAACGTGCGTAAGGTTATAGAAAAATTAGAGCCCAACGAAAAGCGCTTCAAAATTGTTTTTAAATCAATGCTGGTTTTAATAGTGAGTTTGGATGAATTTTTTTTTTAAATTCTTAACTGTTGTTATGCTATATGTACAATCAACTGAAAATGTGCGCTGTGTAAGCTTTTTTTTTTGTTTGGTTTTGCTTGTCATGCAATTTCATTGCGTTTCTTTCTGTCTGACGTAATATGTCTGTTCATTTACATCTTCCATGCTGCTATGTCCATTTAAGAGTTCTTTTGTGCTTCCAATTTTCTTAAATATTTTTTTATTTTGATGCTCGATTATTTTCTTTAATGTTCTTTCTTAAGACGTTGTTGAATCCCTACAAGACCTTATGCTTTTTTCCAACATAACATAAACAATTGGTGTTTTTTCACCTTTAATTTAAGTTCTTTTTTTTTTTTTGATTTTCAAAGAAAAATTTTTTTGTTTTTTATTTAAAATTTAATTATTTTTTTAATGCTCTTAATATTCTTTATTTTTTATATTTTTATGTTTTTTAATATTCTTAGTTTCTATATTTTTTAATATTATAATTTTTAATTTAATTTTTTAAAGATTTTGTTTATCATATATTTTTTCGTTTTATTTTTTTATTTCACAATTTATTAATTTTTTTTTTTAATTTTCATATTTTTTATATTATATTTTTTTATTATAAATTTGTTATTAATTTCTTTTTTAATATTTGTATTAATTTTTAACTACTATTATTTTTTAATTATTGTAATTTTTTTGTTTTTTATTGGTTTAGTTTAATATGTTTATAATTCTTTTTATTTATTCATTTATATTTTTTTTTATTTATTCATTTATATTTTTTTTTATTTATTTATTTGTTTTTTAAAATTATATTTTTTTGTTTTTTATTTGCTTGTATTTTTTAATTTTATGTTTTTAATTATTGTTTTTGAGTTTATTTTAAATCTTATACCTTTTTTATAGTTAAATATTTAATTTATTTTATTTGTTTATATTTTTATTTTTTTGTTCATATTTTTGATTTGCTTATATTTTTTATTTGTTTATATTTTTTATTTTTTTTTATTTTTTATATTTTTTTTTTGTACTTCTGCAATGTATATCCATTTAAGAGTTTTTTGTGCTTGGAACTATTTTGAATATTTTTTTGATGCGTTTTGGCTGTTAATTTAATATATTTTTAATTATTTTTATTTGAAAATGTTTTTTTAATATTATTATTTTTTAAAAGTAATTTTGTTTAAGATTTAATTTTTTATATTTACATATATTTGTTTAATTAATGTTTTTTTGCTACTTTTATTCTTTTAATATCCTTAAATTTTCCAATGTTATTAATTTTTAATATTTAAAAAAAAAAAATTTTTTGTTATACTTTTTATTATTTTTTTGATATATTTTTTATTTTAGATTTTTTTTAATACTATATATTGGTATATTGATATATGTTTTTTTTTATATACATATGTTTATATTTTATATAATTTTTTTTTATTTATTTTTTTTACTTTTTCTTAATTTTTTTTTAAATTTGAAGTTTTTTTGTTATAATCAATTTTTTTATTATATTTTACTTTTATAATATATTCTTTACTATATTTTATTTTTCTTTTATTATACCTTTTTTAATTCTTTATTTTCTTTTAGTTTTTTTATTTAACAATTTTTATTTATTTTTAAAAATTTTACCGTTCAAGTATTCGCAACAAAAAATTAAATAATAACAAAATTTTTAATTTTAAACATTTTCTTATATATATTTTCATTTTCTTGCAGGCGAACCACCAAGCCCAGCCGAAGAGTGAAATGTGCACAATTAATAAATTATTTTGCGAATAAATAATTTAAAAGCCGCTTAACCGACCAGCCAAACAATCAAACCCACGAGCAATTGCTATAATACAACAACCACATTGCCGACGCCCTGTAAGCCGGTAATATGAGTTGCGCAAAAGGCAAAACAAACAAAAACATACATACATACATGCATATGACTGAAATATTAGTTCTAACTAAACTAATTATTTAGTAGTAGTTAATAATAGTAATGATTATCATAGAATCATAATCATGTGTGCCTCGAGATGTGGGTGTGTGTTCCTATTAGAAGCGTGTCGTGTATATGAATACATCATACAAAATATCAAATATCACTCATACATACATACATATTTAAATACGTGTACATATATACATTTGTAATAAAAAATAATAAAAGAAGAAGAAGAAGAAAGCTCACATTGATCATTATCATTTGGCAATCCATTAATTGTTAATCTGATTCCTATTGTATATTTATTTGTATAATTATTATTATTATTATTTTAATAATGTCAATATGTAACAAAATGGATTGTATGCACTACAAGAAAAAAACACGAATATGTGTATGTGAGTGGAGTAACTTTATTTGCATTCAAATGTTAAAATTGCATAAAAATTTTATCAAAAAAAAAAAGAAATAATGGATTGAGGAGCAAGTAGAAAACATGCTGTAAAATTGTTTGTAAATTTTACTAAATAATATATTTTCTTTCTATTATTAAAATTTAGTTATGATTATGCAAATTTATACTCAAAAAACATTCATTGCCCTACGCTGTGCGTTGCGCATGCTCATTTTACATACATGAACGTACATGATAACGGTATATAACATAATTATTATATGTAAGCTTTTTTTTATTTGAAATATAGTGCTTGAATGGCTGCAACGACAGCATGGCATGTAAAAAGGGCGAAAAATGTAGGTACTAAATAAATGCACATTAAAATTAATTAGTTAGCATTGCAATTTTTTAGATAAAAAGTAATAAAAATTAAATAAAATTAATTTCTCTATATACATATACATATACATATATATATATATATATGTAAAAGGACTAGGCAAGTAAGCAGTAGAGTAAGAAGCGGGTGTGCATTATCATTATTTTTTAATCGCTCTTCTCATACTATCTCAAATCTAATGAAATCCTTGAAAATTGTGCTACTTACATTGAACAACTATAGTTTTTTTTTTAAATATTTAACGCCTAAACCAAAAAAAAATTTATAATAAATTAAAAATGTATTCTCTTAACTATTTTCCATCCAAATGAATTGTTAATATTTGTCTCGTATTTTTTATTTGTTATATAATATATGCATACCCCTTCCCTACCGTAATCTGTTAGATTTAAACGAAAAAACAATTTAGGCAATGGCGCAGAATTCATGAAATAAGACTGTATTAGGATTTGTTATGTATTTTAAAAACATAAAATGGTAAAAAGAGTATAATAAAAGATATGTATATTGCATTGAATTAAACTTGTACGCATACTAATCGATAATATACTTATATATATATATAGTACATAAATACTTATATATAAAATATTTAAGAATAGCATAATTCTCGGGTATATTGAATGCTAATAAAGAATGAATATATACAAATATTAAACAAAAAAAAAACTATTTGCGACTTTTTTACTCACGTGTTAATAGGGATTATGCGGGTGCTAAAGGTTTGCCCTTGTGTCTAAGCAGCTGGAAGAGACTGTTGAATATATTCCGGTGAGCACTAAGCTCTTACCAAAAATTGGGCGTAATCCACTGGTTTTACCCCGAGACATATGGGACTCGCAAATTCTCGTAGAGCAAGAATGGGTAGACAGAAAAAATGTGAGATCGTAAATCTGTTGAAGATAAATTCCATTGCACACGTTAGCTGCATAACTTCACTGATCAACTGAGAAGTGTATTCTTGCAATATTGGCTTGATTCTATAATACATGCATACATTTATGCCAGAATGCAATAACTCAAATGGCAGGAAGCAATTACGCGCTCGTCGTAAACATCTTGTACGATATGTAGTGGTATTCATCGCACTTTTTGGACGGCGGTGTTGTCAATCTTTACAATTGTATTACGATTTCTATTACGAGGGTATCAACCGGTACCAGGACATTCCAGGTTCATGCCCTTAAATTATAGTTCTTAATACATTTGCAGTGGTCGTCGTGGTCAAAAGTGGGGTCTCCCAAACGATGCGTTGTTACATTTTTGTAGCTGTTTATCAACGTGGCTTAGAAGCAAGCTAAGACTTCGAGGTCATCTAACTCTAGGTACAGGAAACGCACTTCTTCGGCGGGTTCAGACCAGAGGGAAAAGGGAGTTAGACGAATTGGTTTTAGGGGGACATGCAAGGAGGTGGTTAGTTTCGTCCGTGCGCTGCTTACAAGCAGGACATACCTTAGGTAAATCGGGTTCAAGTCTGGACAAGTAGGAGTTTAATCTGCAATAGGTGGTGGTTCGACTCCGAGAAAGCCATTCACAGGATTCTCATGACAGCCGGCTCTACGTACCGGAGTTGACTCGAGTTTTAAATGATCAAGGGCTGGCATCCTTTTGGCGTCCTAACCTCGTTTAAGTCAGCCGGTAACATGAGCATATATTTCCATAACTAGCCGCTTGCTTCAACACAGTGTTCCCCTTGCAGCCGCTCCTCTGGTGGTCAGACGCTGCAATTAGACTTTTATGAGCTCATAAATGAGACATATCAAAATGGTTCCACTGAACCTTCCGCTCTTTTAGCCGTGAACCAAGGCTCCACATGCGATTTGACTTCACCGCATTACACCTTTCCTAAGTTGATGATGTCCTCTACCAAATCTAAATAGATGGCATGCGACGTTAAACTCTTTTTTGGGAGTCAGAACTATTGCATGATTCTGTCAAAGTCTATTCACCTGACAAAACAGGATTAAACTTGTGCGTACTTCACCTCTTTCCTATTCTAACAGGACACCCTCTTTAGCTACATCAATCAGCCATCTCATTGCCTACGATGCCCATATGGCCTCTCAAGCAGCACATTTGAACTCTTCTTTTCTTAGTTTGTCTTTCGATCCCCCCCCCCCCCCCCCCCCTTACATGAAGTAAGCATGACTGACTTCGTGCTATTCGAAAGTAAGTTCTTCACATGTATACAGGACCACTGATGCTTCCTTAACTCGCTCTTCTACATCGAGCATACATGACAACTTGCGGTCTAAAATAATTTTCAAATTTTTAATGCTAAGTTTCGGTTATAAAGTGCTCGCTCTCAGCTTTGATTCGATCTGGACACAGTGACATCCCAGGCAATCGCATGGCAGACGAACTAGCGAAAGAAGGAACCCTTCATGCACGCGATGCAGGTTTACCTTTGATCACGGAATAGTACATATAAGCACAAACTGACCCTTGCCAAAGCAGCAGAAGATGGCTGGAGGAGATCCCGTGCAACGCGACCAGATAGCTGTTGCCAAATTTGGACGCGAAAAAATTCAGAACATCTTTTCCTTCTGGGCCGGTTCTTCTTCAACATAACAATAGGCATAATAACAGGCTACTGTTTAATCGTGCTTTACGGCGCAGCTGAAGAAACGAAGAAGAGGAGGGGTCTATTGAACACTACAGACTCTGTCACTGTCCAGCCTTGATATCTGGGCGACACAAGTTCCAACAAGAAGTGCTTACTTCTTCTTTGACTGCGTCGCGGAGCTAGTTTCAGCGAAGATTGGAAATCTCATTGGTTTTATAAGACACACGAAATGGTTCGAACATTTAAGAAGATGAAAACATTAGTCTCATAGCGGTATTACAATGTTCTTATTGGCATAAGTGCGCTGGTAATGACAAGGAGCTGCATCAACTCAACTCAATTCAGACTTAAGTCCCACTGAATCAGCCTCCAGATCCATACAATTGACTTACGGCTGAACTCCTTCTCCAATTTGTGGTGCACGTCTTGATGTTATTCCAACAATTGGCGGGACCTACGGTTTATTCTAAGCCACCTTCGAGGAGGCAGTGGATTTTTCTTAGGACTATACACTTGGAGAGCTGGATTTTCCTTGCCAAGGGGCGACTCCTTTCAAAGTGTGCAGCCGTTTATTTTTCTTACAAAGAAAGTACAATCACAGTAAAGTTATTCCAGTTTCTCAGTTCTTTCTAACATACATACATACTAGTACATTAATATTTTTCAACCGAAGCAAGATACCCCAGCCCATTTCCTCAAAACTGTTTAACATTTTTTAGTTTTATCAGCCTTTTTATCGCCGTCCTTACCACCTTTTCCGCTATTCTTCTGCTCTTCCTCTTCTTGTTTCTTCACCAACTCCATGAGGTCTTCGGTAGTATAGCTTTTCGGTCGCTCAATGGGTATGACGAACGCTCTGTGCCAGGTAATCGACGATAAAACACCAAGCGCCCGTGAAACACCAAATAGCACCGTGTAGAATTGCATTTCCTTCATGCCGAAATACATTAACAAAGTGCCAGAATGTGCATCCACATTTGGCCAGGGGTTTTTCACTTTGCCCAGTGACTCGAGTATCGGTGGCACCACTTTGAAAATGGTATTAACCAGCAAGAATCCTTCGTAATTCGGCAAATATACTTTGGCAAAGTCTTGTTGGGCCGTATAACGTGGATCGATCTTACGCAACTCTGCATGGCCAAAGCCAGGTATTACTTGACCCGCTTTCAGTGTTTTCTGTACATAATCTCTAACTTGGTCTTCTGGTGGATTTTCGCTACCCAACTCTTTACGCATTTTCTCAATCCACACTAGTACTTCTTGATTGGCTAAACCGTGTAGCGGACCCGCTAAGCCATTCAAACCAGCAGCATACGAAATGAATGGATCGCTCAGTGCTGAAGCCACCAAGTGGGTGGTGTGAGAAGACACATTACCCGAATCATGATCGCAATGTATTGATAAATATAGACGCAAGAGCTCATGAAATATGGGATCTTCATAGTCCATCATGCGTGCAAAATTGCCGGACCAGTCTAATTTCTTATCGATCTCATCACAACCCTTGCCGCCACGATACATGTTTCGGTAAATGCGCGCCGCTATATTTGGCAATTTGGCAATCAATGTCATGGTGTCCTCCAGGGAATACTTCCAAAAATCCAGTTTCTTGAGACCCTTCTTGTAGGCTTTCATAAATTGACTGTCCTTGTTGAGCGAGGTGACGGCAATCGATAGCTGTGACATTGGATGCAAATCGGTTGGCATATCGTCTATCAGTTTCTTAACATAATCCGGCAATTCAGCTTTATCATTCCACTCGTCTGTTATCATTTTCGCCTGTTCCTTTGAGGGTATTTTACCCGTCATCAGGAGCCAAAATACTGCCTCCGGTAGAGGCTCCTCACCACACTCCAACTTTGGCAATTTATCGTACAGATCCTGTATGGTGAGCCCACGGAAACGAATACCTTCTTCGGGATCCAGGCTGGAAGTCTCACAAAGTAATGCCGGTATGCCACGCATACCGCCATAAATTTGCGAGACCGTGACCTCACCGATTTTCGTATTGGCTTTCTCTACGGCGAACTTCTTAACTCGTGCACGCTCAGACTTGACTTGTTCGGCAACGACTGTACGCAGGTCCGCCTTACTGTCACTGCCACCATCCTTTCCGCCACATTTATCGTCGGAGTAATTGCGCAGCAGTGGTCTTCGTATGTTATGCCTCAGACAACTAAAAGACCGTGGTGACGAAAGTCTCCGAAAAATCATTATATACGAATTGATTTTTTTTTTATTAATTTTTATTTATGTATTTATTTATTTTTATTTCAAAAGTGAAATAATTAAAAGATTTTCGATTTCAATTTTTTTGAAAGTAAATTTTACGCAGTTCGTTATTCCGGAAACGCCTGCTACTCTTTCATCATCAAGCATTTTTATATATTTAAAACATTTTCCGAAGAAACACTGTATTCGGCATAAATATTCCAACCTCTTGTTGAAAGGGCTGATCTATGCTCTTACATACTTCTCACACTGTCCGCATGTAATTGAGCGACTAAATCGCTGACGACAACTGGGATTTCCCCGTAAATGTTGAAGAACCACGGCTAGGCCTTGGAGGGAGCCAACCCCGTATGTTTAATGGATATTTGGGTAGATGAAAGTGCTACCAGAGCTCGAATCTAATTGGCACTCGGTACGCCATTTTGATGCAGTGTCGCAAGTTCGTTATATTCACACACCATTCCAACGCTCAAACCATTTTTTTTTTTCAATGAGACACTTACACATCTCCGATATGCTTTTCGGATTGTTACTTAATGGATATCAAATGTTCTATGTCGGGTTTGTGAGAGAACTGGGCACTGACAGGGTGTATATTAAGACTAGAAAGTTTCCGGAAATTGTAAATAAAATGAAAAAATGTTTATCTTCACCAATATTTATTTTGTCGACTTCAAATGCTAGGTCTTGTGGCCCGAATGGATGGGACTACACCAGCTTTAAAAGTTTTAAATGCGGTACCAACTAGTGGAAGCAGAGGAAGAGAAAGACCTACACTCAGTTGGAAAGTTCAATTGGACAAGAAACTGGCTGTAGCAATAGGCGTTTCAATAGGTGTCAAATTGTGAAAAGAAGGAATGAAAGTCGCACTGTTGTTAACTCAGCTATAATCTCGTAAGCGGTGTCTACGCCAGTAGAGTAGAAGGAGTTATGAAGAGGAAAATGAAAAATTTTTAAGCACACAATAATTCCGCCCACACAGTCTAACCTGTGGGAAGTGAAATCGAGGTAAAACCTAGACAACATCGCACATTTCAACAACAACCGAGTAGTTGGTATTGCGACTGCCATATGGCAGACCAAGACTCGAGTTCTAGTACGACCATCATACAAAATTATAGAGAATGATTTTTTCAAATTACGGTCGCCCCTCAGCAGGGAACGACAAGCCCCTTCGGTGGTATTTGTGAGATGTAGGAAAAAGCTTTTCACAAAAATCCAACGGCCGTTCAGTGGCGGCTTAGAATAAACTACCGGTACCCCCATTTGTTGGCAAATCATCAAGACACAAAATCAGAAATTGGAGGAAAAGCTCAGCCGAAAATCGCTACAGCAATTATAAAGCACCAATTATAATAAAAAAATAACATTTCCGCAACTCGCCATTTCCATATACATACGGGGTGTGTTCAAAAAATATCGCGTTTTTTGTGTTTTTTTTCACAAATTAATTATTTATTCATGAATATTTATTTTGTCCCCTTCAAAGTAATACCCATTAGATATTATACACTTGTGACTACGGTTTTTCCAATCTTCGAAGCACTTCAAAAAATCATTTCTTTTTTACCTTGACAACAGCTCCTCCTTCGATGCCGTCTTTATCTCGTCAATCGTAGCGTAACGTCGTCCTTTCATGGGCCTCTTCAGTTTAGGGAACAAGAAAAAGTCACAGGGAGCCAGATCTGGGGAATACGGTGGCTGTTGTTTTTGGCCAAAAAGTCGCGCACAAGCAACGATGTGTGAGCAGAGGTGTTATCGTGGTGCAAAAGCCAATTTTTGTTCTTCCACAAATCCGGGCATTTCTGGCGGATTGCTTCGCGCAAATTGCGCATAACTTGCACGCAATATTCCTTATTGACCGTTCTACCCTGTAAGAACAAGCAAGAACTCAAGATGCACCACGCCCTTGCAATTAATTTTTTCGTCTGTTGTTGAAGTGCTCGGGCGTCCGGCACGCTCTCGTCGTTCACATCTTCTCGACCTTCTGAGAACATTTTGTACCACCGATAAAAGTTGCTTCGGTCCAAGGTAGCTTCTTCGTATGCCACAGTCAATATTAGGAGTGCATCCGCGCACTTAATTTTTTTTTTTTTGGATAGGTAAAAATCGAAGACCATCCAAAACACGTGCAAGCAAAGCAGCTGTCAACAATTAAGTGAACATTCAAAATGGCCGAGCTTGTTGGCATAAGTGACAGACATGAGAACCAACATGACGCCACAAAAAAATCGAAATTCGATTATATATAACCCGCAAAAATTCAAAATTAGCGATACTTTTTGAGCACACCTCGTATGTATGAAAGTATGCACGAAAAGCATGAAGAATTCCATGAATGCAATTGCTTCTAATAGAACATATCAAACACAATTCAAATTCAAATTCGAAAATGTTTACAGTAAGCAATGCTTTTCCACGTCTCGGACCACACAGCCACTACGATCATGGACTGCCATTGCATCGCTTTCAGCATCTCCCAAGCAGTTACTTCTGAGCATTCAAAGCGCGCTGTACCGACGTAAGATCAGCTCGGACTCTTTCGTTCTGTTGGCGCTATCAATTGTTGAAGCACTCTATAAAGGAAACTTCCAGTGACTCGCATTGCATTGTGTTTATATTACGGTACCACTTGCACTTGATATTCATTACAACGCTTCATGTGACTGTTTGGTTCCTGTTCCCTCATGCATCTCACCCACCCACTTCGGACAATAGCAAACAATTGAAAAAAAAAATTCATAAAAAGAATTGAATACTCAGTTATATATATGCGGAAGCCGCCGCTATTCAACCGGAAAATGTTGTCACAAATTCTCATCACAATCACCGTTATGACAGTAATACTGCTGGCGATGCACAGCTATGCCGCGCCATTGCTTGGTATGTATTGTATTTAATTGATGGTGAATAATGGGATATTTTAAGAAGGGAAAGCAACATTGGCGAAATTCCGCCTTTAAGGCTTTATATAATAAGTTAAGACAAATAATAAAAAATACATTAAAAATAATTAATAAATTTAAATTCATTTATTTTTCACCCTTAAAGGATATCAAACCATTTTCGAGGATAACTCACGCAGTCAAGGACGCTTAAAGCCGATCTTTATACATTGCGATGAGATCGGCAATCATTTAAATTGCATGCTCCATTGCAAGAGTAGAGGGCACATGACTGGCAATTGTGGTGGTGATTTTACATTCAACTGATTTTATTGTTATTTATTTGTGTTGTTAATTAGTTGTTAAAAATACATATATAGAGAGCCGAAGATTAAAATAAATATATGTATGTACGTCGAAGCATTTTAATATTCACGAAATGAGCGGATTGTAGGTTTGCGGTTAGGCTCTTTAGGATCGTAACGTGTTCAGTGACTTATGGCAATAGCAACAGCAACAGAATGGTTGCTGGGTTCTATGGTTACTTACAAGCCAATCAATCAGTATATACACGGATATCCAAGCTGTCATCAGATCTCTTCAATGTAATTACATCACATCAAAATACGTAGAGCTTCCTACGCTATGGCCAACACAGCGGTGGTCTGCGCGCCCAGACAGAGGCACATCTCAAGTAAATATATGGTGGATGAGCTAGCGAGTGAAGGTAGCTTAATAGCTATAATAAATGCAAAGCAAGTCGCGAGCGTACCCTGTTATACGCCAAAACTCAGGCTAAAGCTGGCTTCCACCAAAATATCCAATACCAGATGACTGACGTAGCTAAAGTGCCTCCAACGTGACTAGACAGCTTTGGTCTGTGTTAGACGCTAAAAGATCTAGAACCACCGAGACTGGCTCACCATTAATACAACAACTAGCGTACCAATTGGACACTGTTTGATGGAACTGTACGCTAGTAGAACGTGGAAACCTCGCCAGTGATTTTTATTGTAGCTGCAAAGAAGAGTTGGAGGATGAGCTTGTCGAATTCTAACTCTGTCACTGTCTGGCCCCAAGCGTTATACGACATAAATACCTAAGGCATCACATCTTCAACTGCCTGGCTGACCTATGAACGGCTGATATGGACACTCAACTCAACTCAGTGACTCATAGCCAGTAAAAATACACAGTTTCATTGTTATTAGACAATTAGTCTTTGGGTAATCGCCAATCAAGCAAAATAATCGGTACTGAAAAGTAAGGAAAATCGGTTGCGACCATCATGATTGAGATGTCATTCGTTTACGGTGACTCTTGTCCGGAAAAACCCGACATGTGCAAGTGCCACAGTTTATTTACACAATGAAAGCATTACCTTTGAAGATGACCCGAGACCAGCAGTAGCATCGAGGTGACCAGAACTTATCCAAAAAGTTGGAAACATTGTGAACGGCGGTGTTCGACGACTAAAGAAGAAACAACTCCCACAAAGGTTGAAATATCTGACTAAGTTCAGCGCAAGATAGGTGCCGATAAGGATGGAGCATTAAATCGAATTGTAGTTAAAGACGAAATTAGGGTTCTTCATTATAAACTTAAGACGAAACAAGACTACAAGCAGCAGCATAAAATGAGCACCATGTCAATATTACTGTCAGTTGTATTTGTTGCTAAAACAAATGACTGCACTACTTTTTTAAATTACGCCCCGTCAGAGATCGAGTAAATCAAGTGATTTTCGTTTGATTAGGTCTATAGAAACAATAGTTGTGGCACTATGAAGGACCTGAGGAACATCTAACCTGGAGCTTAGGATCCGAGCTCATTCGACAGGTTTGGATCATAGACCTTAATTGTGCCAGTATAAATATAAAGCGTCAAGCTCTTCGTCTGCTATGAGGTTTGCAGGAATCCGTTGAAGCGGTGAGAGAGCTACCAAAGGTGTTGACGTACTCTTAGATCAAAAACTGTCTGGGTAAACCAACCAGATCACCCAAGACGCCATGGAATGCATGGATTTTTTGGGAGTTCATTGCGAAGGTGCTGCCGGACACTTTGCTGCTATGGTTCACGACTCAGGTGGTGACTGAAAGATGGCACCATCGAGGTCTCAAGTGTCTTTGCTAGCGAGAAAAGGAGGGATATCGACCGATATGATTCCTCTTTTTTAGCTGGTTTCTCGTGTTTAAGTAGAAATACTATTCCACTTTTCTTTTACATTTCGATTATTTTTGGGGTGATCAGAGACAGATTGAGCATCTTAATGATGCTTTCTGTTCCCGCTGTATCTTGGTTTTAACATCAGTATATTTTGGCTTTTGCTTTCCCAATAACCCACCGAATTTCCACTCTAAATAAATCACGCTGATATTTGGCAGTTTGTGTAGACAGTGGGTCACTTACCGTTACTTTCTGTTAGGCGAGAGGTGCAGTGGAAAAAGCCAGTACTTCTTCGGTTTAGACGAAACGCGGACACATAATGAAATTTTCTTTCGGTAAGCTCCAGATAGTCGCCGGTGGCTTGGCGAGCCAAGGTGAAGAGAGCGGCCGCTCATAACTGACACGTTCGTTAGTGATAACGACAGTTGGAGTGGGTAGCGCACGTCCGGTGTTATGGGGAAACAAGACCCGGGGCGCTGTAGATCAATATAACTATTGGTAAGCGGTGCGATGCGGAAGTTAGTGAGCTAGTTGCCAAATTTAGCTGCTTTTCAGACTAGAGATAGAAATTGTGAAGTTCGGCAAGCTGTTGGGATTTCTATAATTCTAGGAGTGTCGTCATTGATGGGCTCGAATCGTCTAGCTATTCTGCCAGCCTCATTCCACCACAATCATTTGACAGAATGGATCGTAATGCGCGTTAAAAACGTAGATTTCAGTCGGAAGTCAGTTTCTTCCAAAGAGCCAACCATTGATTATGCGATTAAAAAGAACATTCATTTTACTTATTTTAGCTTTCTTATTTAATTTTTGTATATCGTAGACTGCAATAAATTTATTAAAAATTATATATCTATACACAATAGTCACAATTATATTATTGTAGTATAACACATATTGTATTCATACAAATATATGTTGCATAATTATAACTACATACATTCATTTATTTAAATAGAATAAAATTTACAAAAAAAAAACAAGAAATTCTTGTTTACTAATGGTAAATATAATATAACAAGAAGCTCTGCTTTACCGCTTAAGTAAATCAAATAGTAATTTACGTATGTATGTATGTATGTATGTAAATAAAACAAATTAAAAATCGAAATTTGAACAAAAGAAATGCTCGTTTATAAGGAAAAATTAAGAAAAATATATGCTGACGCCCTATTTTACCCACTTCTTATAAATGTAATAAAATATCTCTAAATAACTCAGAAACATTTTAAATCTCAACAACAAAACGCCATAGGAAACATATGTATGTACATATGTATTGACTTTAAAGTTTCTTAATATGCAGATTTGCCGACATTTTTCAAAATATGTCCAGCACCACATAGTAAAGGGTTCTCCAATAAGAGCTGCCATTTTGTATAGGCTGCTATTCCGGTAGATGTCACTCTTGCAGCTGTAATTTTTTGACATATGACAAGTAAAAACTAAACCAGTAACAAAAATGAAACGAAACACGCTTCAACAGCTCATGGAAATTATTAAAATTCACTTTAAAAATGTTGAAAATTTGCAGATTTCCGTCGATACCAAAACACTTTTCCGCCGTCGTGAAGCAACTTGTCGGAACGCAATACAGAAATTGATGGAAAAAATGTAGCTGTTGGGGAAAAGTTTGTGATGTGAAGAATAAAACACCTACACGTCGCTCAAGAACAACTGAGAATATTGCTGCTGTAGCCCAAAGTGTTGAAGAAACGCCAATTTTGGCCATTCTTCGTTTTTTTTTTTTTTTTTGAATTGGGCGATCCACAAATGTCATTACATCGTATTTTGCATAAAGACTTGAGACTAGAGGCTTATAAAGTTCAGTTAACACTAGAACTCAAGCCGGACGATCATCGTTAACATCGTGTATTTGCTAATTGGGTCCTTGAAATGCATGAAAATAATCCGAAATTTCATAAATTCCATAATTTCATAATTTCCATCGCGATTGTTACGTCAATAAGCAAAACTGTCGCAACTGCGGCTCGGAAAAACCAAGATTTATTGTTGAAAATTCTCAACGTGTAATTGTTTAGTGCTCTTTATGGCCCAACGCGGTCATTTGGACCTTACTTTTTCGAAAATAAGGCTGGAGCGACCGTTACGCTGAGAGATGATTACTGATTTTTTTATGGTCGAAATTGGTTGGTATTGATCTAGACAACGTTTATTTGCGCTAAGTGCCACACAAGCAACGAAAACATCGACCTTTTAAGGGAAACCTTCCGGACCGTGTTTTTTCTCGAAGAGGTGATCGCAATTGCGATTTAACGACGATTCAAGACCTCAAGCATGAAATTCGTTAAGCTAGTGAGAGCCCACGCATCGATTTGGTGATGGAAAATTTAATAAAAAGGATACGCCCCTGTAAGCGCTCCTGGTGGCTATTTGGATGATATTGTTTACCATTATTAATGGCATACATAAATTACTCTTTACACTGAAAGAAATATTTGATCATTGATATCATAAAATACTATTTTGCTTTGAATATCAAAATAACTCCTCTTATTGGAAAACCCTGTACATTTATAAAAAGGAAAATTTTCAAAACTTAAACTTTGCAGCTAAAACCGAAAATGGCAAAGGCATCATTTTAATTGAAGCTAAATATTATTAAACAGTAACATCAATTAATTATTATTAATATTACTCTTTACAGTTTCATTTACACTTTTAAATATCGAACATATGCTTTTCATGAATAAAAGATTCGTTGTAATAATACAGACACTAGACATGCATATAAAATCAATAAAATTAATTTTAATTGCATTAAATAAATGCCAAATCAAATGTTTTTTAATGTACAATTAAAATCAACCGACAAAAATTGTAATAATTTTTTTATAAGTAAAGTATAAACAAATAATAGAAAAATAAAATTTCAATAATTTTCAGTAAAAGGCTATTTGGAGTGAGTTTAAAACTTACTTAGGCTTTTTAACATTTTTCTTTTCTCTTTTTTCAATTTTTTTTTAATAATTACTTCGGTCTCTTTCCCCATATATATATACGTGTATATATATATGTATATATGTATATGTATGTATTTACAAACAAGCACAATTGCTTTGCAACGCTGCTAAATTACTCGTATTGCAAGCGAAGTCGCTACAAGAGCTGAATGAAGAATGAATTACCGCTTTCTTTTTCAATAATATCTATAAATGTATGTATGTATGTATATATATCTAGGTATGTATTTATATGTATATGTATGTAATATTATATTAACTCGTCCATTTAGTTTGTTTTATTAAGTATATCTGTATGCATGTATGTATGTATGTAATATTGCAGTCAAATGCACATAGATTAAGCTGATGCGATTGAATCATTTTCCTATTTGCTCAGCTCGCTCAATTGACCTTTTTTTTCCAATTTTTTTTAGTCTGCTCATCACAGAAAAAAAATAAAAAAATAAATGTTTTACAATATTGAATTCATGTGACTGCTATTTCTTAATTTTTCTTTTTGTATGTAATCATATATGTATTAACGCAACAATTTTTATTTTTTTAATTTTTATTTATTTATTTTTTTCAATTTATTCTTTCGTTTAACTAATGTCCTATGGCGGTAAGTCTGTCTACGTGTTTTTAACACGCATTTAATTCATATGTTGCTATTTGTGTGTGTGTGTGTGTGTGTGTATTGCATATATGTATAATATACATATATATTAAAAACCATGCTTTGCATACAAGATGTTTCGTCTATTTAACTGTTTATGTTTTTAGGTTAGATACTACGAAACTATTAATGTTATTTATTTTCAGTATTTGTTGTTGTTCGCGCTACTCGAAGCCAGTCACTGCTGTTTCTTATACCTTCACTTATCTACTAAACAATTTTACGCGTTTTTAGCTATTTTTTATTTATTAATTTAGTTACATATATGTATGTGTGTATGTATTTATTGTTAGTTTTTGTTTGTTTTTGTAAATATAATCTATCATTGTTTTTCTTTTTTTTCTTTTTTATAATTTATATTTTTAATATAATTTTAATTTTCGTTTTTGCATCTTTTTATTTTATTCGTACTTATCAATGTAAATTCCTCTTCTCGTATTTATGTATGTATGTATGTATAACATTCAACCACAAAATAAGTAGTTAATATTTAATTAATTGTTTTGCGAATTTATTGTTTTTGTTTTATATATTTATATATATTTATGTATATTATAATTAAATGATTACATTCATACGCTTTTACATAGACAAGATAATAAATCTTTTTTTGTTTTTGCAATTTGTTATATATATAAATATTTTTTAATATTTTGTGGCTAATTTCCATTAAATTATTTATTCTATTTTAATTTTATTATTATTATTTTTATTGGTATTATTATTATTATTATAATCAATTAATCCGTTTAATTTCCACTTACAAAATACTATTTAACCTGAGTCCGTATATGTTGCAAAAATTCATAATACGATAAACTAGATTCACTACGATCATCGACTAATTTCTCAATAAATTGCGGCTTGGCCGTGCTTGTGTCCCTGTGAAATAGCGAGAAAGCGATATATAAGAAAGTTAGGTTGTTTTTTTAATCATTATAAGAAAAACAAAAAAATATAAAAAAGAAGATTTTAGGATTAACTTTTCTAAACGTTCAAAAAAAGTTAAAGAACATACAAAGGACGGACGAATAAGATATCATACTTTATATAAGTTTAACACTCAACTGCGGTCCTTATTGTTGCCATCCTGTGATAAGCTTCTTCTAACCGTTAAGGATTCTTTTGAAACCGTTTACCTTGAGCTCTAAAGTTCTGTTGTTGTAACTCAAACCCGCCTAGCAGTGGGAAGTTAGTCATGATCATCCTATCCTTAAACTTCAAGAAACGGACCAGAGTTAAAGCGGCGTTAACTGAATAGGTTTCAGTGGGTATGCAAAGAGAAGGTTAGTGTCGTGCGTCGACTCATTGCATGCAGCACAGAGGTATAAGTTGTTATTGCAACCGCAAAAATATTCCCAAAAGAAGTTTTTGGGTAATCTTGCGAGTGTAACAGTCCTTGGCCGGATAAAAATCCGCGTCATTCCAGTATAAACACCCGACTGTTGCGGGAACTTTTGGTTTTTACTCAACTTTTACGATAGGCATGGCTTACCGGTTGAAAATTTGTGAATTCCTACCCGGCATGGATGAATAGTACGTTCTGTCCATCGATTCGGTTATTTGATGCTGAATGGAGCTCGTTAGGTAAAGTACTCCATTCCCGGTTACACAGTTATTTTCAGTAACTGGGAGCATACACTGTACTGTTACACTGCATAAATACTGCATAGGTGAAATAAGCAGGTTTTGAGTTCTAGCCTCGAAATTCTACCAAAACATTTTAAACAATTTAATTTAGACCATTGTCTATCTGGGGTCGATATGCTGCTACTTTCTGGGCTGGTTTCTCCTTATTTGACGGTTAATCGCTTGTTTGCGGTAGTGAGGACGCTGGAGGGGCTTAAGTGCTCTTCCCATATGTTTCGTTTGAGCCTATTTACTAAATGCCACTGACCTCTGGGATCGATATGGCATAGCTGGTCGTTCCTTGATGCTAGTTCCTCTGCTTCAGTGGTAAAATGTGTTTTTCGGCTTGCCGGTGACAGTGGTCACCACTGTATTGAAAAATAGCAAAACTTTCTTTCTCAAGGAAATAACCATGGCCACCTAATATTTTGAAATTTCTCTATTCTACACCCCGTTTCAACTTATATTATTCTTACTAGAATAAAAGGAACAAAAAATTAGGAAGAGTTTCGTGCCGTTGGGTATACTAACTCATAAGGGGATTTTTTTTAGGAAAATATAAATTATAACTATATCTTGTTGTATAACAAAAACATTCAATTCATACAAGCTAACCAGGCCTTTAGCTCATTTAAAACTTACAACAAAACATTATTGAAACTATTATTTTTTAAAATTAATAAATGTCTTGAGTGGTAGCTCACCTTATAATCTGTATCAATGGCGTATATGGTTTATCGTCATTCAAATGCAAAATAAATTTCTTTAATGTTGCACTAGCTGTACTTTCCAAATTTGGCAATCCATAGGAATAATCAGGAATTTCTGCTGTCGATTTAACACCTAGTGAAAACAATTAAATATTAATAATTAAATGCAAAAAGGGGAGAGTGGCAAAATAGCTACGAAAAATACCAAATATATCTTCCAGCACACTCGCGGGTGCATTTAGACCAACATATAAGATAATTAAATGGCCACAATCCAACAGAAATATTGAACGTGAATCCAAGCTGTAAAAATATAAGTATTTTGTTTTTGTTTTGTATTCATATTTACGTAGATACAATGTACTTACAACTCCGCTGATAGCTGTAAACGTGGCAATTCCGGTACATCATCATCGTCATCTTCTTCCTGCGTTTTAGTTTGCGGATAAAACAGTGAGTCAATTAAATAAAATTCAGGGTAAATAAATTTCATTAACTGATCCAATGGCAATGATTTCATACAATCCATAGCATATACACGATCATCGAGTCGTGTGCTTGTGCCTATACGAAAAGCGGGCTATAAGAAAAAACCAACACACAATTAATTAATAATCAACATTAATATCGAGAATTTTGCTAGTTCCTATTTGTTCGCTTACATGTTTGAGTAATGCCGATATATATATTGGTAACAATGCTAAACTTCGCGGCGCAATCAATTGACCAGTTTGGCCTGATGGTAGATTTTGTGCAATTTTAAATGCATTAAATATATCTACAGTTGCATTTATGAACGCCTCACGTGCATCGGCCACATTTGACGTCAGCGAACGATCAACAGCCATTTTCGAAAGCAATGAAATTATGGCTTCCGTATCGGCGGCATGCATAACTTCAGGCAGTGAAGAAGTTACGGGTAGGCACATTGTATGCACACGTATACGACGTTCACCATCACTATTTGTATAGAGTAGAGCTGCTTGGAAGCAAACCGTTTTCGCTTCACTTAAGGACTCATCGTAAGATATCTATAGGAATATGTAGTGTGTTTTTTTTTAATAAACTTATGTAGTGACATATAAATAGTGGTGTTGTAGCTTTACCTGCATGCCATAACCAGCATCCGGATTGACATTTGGTAACGATAGCAAATCAGTTGAGCGCACAAAGAAATTGCCATGGAATGTGTGCACCTGCAAACCGCGCGTACAGCGTATACGCATGACAGCCTCAAAACCGATTTTACGCACCAAATAACGTTTGAAACACTGTTTTAATGATTCCACTGCTGGCAGCTTTGTTTTCTGATAAAGTGGAAAATGATATACGCAGCCGCCGCTATGTTTGCTAATACCCGCTGTGGTGGTGAAAAATTATAATAGAATACAAAATTAATTATTTATAAATACTGTAAATTAAAGGACAGCATCAGAACTTACATATCGTTGCCAAATCACTGTACTGTTGATTTAACAAAAACAAATCCACAGCTATTTGATAGGCCGAACATTCTAGAGCATAACGTTTATAGAAATCTGTAGCTGGATTTAAATGAGCTACATCCTTTGCGGAGCGATTATTAGGATCTTCACGCGGTTCCAACGAACCAGGTCCCTTATTGGGAAGGCACGTTTGGAAAACAGTTACCCGACCGCCATGAGATTGCTAGTAAAATTATGGAAATTCGCTTTAGTTAGATACTCATTATTTATTTTTCTAACAATCCACTAACCATCAACTTATAAGCAACTTGCAAAGCAGCACCCAGTGCCGAGCCCGGATCATGCGTATCGGCGAAACGTGACGGTAGTTGTGTTAGTAAATCACTTACTAACTCCCTACACTCCTTCAAGTTCACCAACAGATTGTCAGGTCGTGGCAAAAATGGATCTTAAGACAATAAACAAGAGGAAAGAATACATTTTTTTTGTTTTAAAATAAATAAAAAAACCCATACTAACCGTCAATATCGATCAAAGTCAATTCGTGCGGCTGATTATAACCCTCAGCCATGCTGTAGAAATGCACCTGACTATTGTAGGCAATAAAACCAATTTGTGTGCGTGCATCGCCAGGCATACCATCCAAGTGGTTGTTCAGCAAAGCACAGATATTCTCAAGATAGCCACTTTGTTGGGCTATGATGGACACATCGAAAAGGAACAAATAGACGGCAGGTTGTGGTGGGCGTAACTAGAATAAATAATAATATTTATAGTAATGTAATGTTGAAAGTAATCATCCGCTTACCATATATTCAGAGGGCGCAATAAATTCAATGGTACTCGAACGGACCTCTGGACGACGTGTGACATCGCCATAAGTTTTCGTTGCTGGATCATATTGGAAATCATCTGGCACTAAAGGGTTTGAATTTCTAAGATAATTTTGAAATTTGGTCATATATTTGGTACTTACACTCGTTAACTCGATAACAAAGATTGCACTTCCACATTTTACTGTCTACAAAATATACAAAAGGATTTATGTAAGTGCGACATAGGCGACAACGCACAATACTAGGACATTGAATTACTGGTAAACTCTGAAAATGAAGCAAAATGGTAATATTGTATAGTTATTTTATTTTGAATATTTTACAATCTCACTCACATTAATATCACGGAATGGATGAATCAATATGCCCAATGGCAAACGAGACTTTTGCAGCAAAGAATTGCTCTCTGGTATTTTGGCCATAGTACAGCGCATAATGCTACAAAGAGACAAATAAAGAGATTAATATTTTGCTTCGAGACATCAACGTCATCAACATCCACACTTACTGCTGATTACAATTAATCGATTCGTGAAATTGATTGTTAAGCACAATACGTGGGGGTTGCAAAGTGGCTGGCGATAAAATATGACGATTTTGCATCAGATCAATGGTATCTTGTCCCCATAGACGACTGAAACCCGCCTGTGTAACGCTCATTTGTTGATTATAAGCACCGCCACTTGGTGTTGGATAATTTTGTTGCTGCTGCTGTTGTTGTTGTTGTGGTGGATAGTGTTTCTGCAGTACTTGTTGCGGCGATGGTTGCTGCATGTAAGGCTGCGATTGGTATTGCAGAGGTGCTGTATTTGGCTGACCATTAAATAGACCTGGTTGGGGTTGGGGTGGCTGCTGCTGCTGCTGTTGTTGTTGTGGTTGTTGATACACTTGTCCATATGGCTGCTGTGCCTGTTGCTGTTGCTGTTGTTGCGCTAAAGCCGTGCCTGGCATTGGTGGCATCGGACCAGTTGGATACATTGGCCTGCGTTGCGTCGAACCCTGCTGCTGCGTATTATTATTCAACTGATTTTGTTGTTGTGCAACACTAGCAGTTGGCAACGGTGGCTGTGTCGTGCCAGTTGTCGAGCCGGGAGCATAGTTTGCATTTGAAAGTGGTAAGGCTTGCTGTTGTCCGCCCAGCGATGCATTCGCTACCAAAGGCGGTGCACGCGATGTGCCAAACATAGCTGCATTACTAGCTGGTGGAAGGGGATATTGTGTTGACGTTGGTGGTACTCCAGCTGTAGAGTTCAAAGTTTGCGTTGGTGCAGTTTGGCTATGGGAAGTGTTTGCTGTAGGTGTAGTTGGCGGTTGCAATGGTCTAATACCGGCAAAAGGCGCTGATGAGATTGGCGGCGGCATGTTTGCTTGCGCTCCTGGTGGTTGTGTAGCCAATGGTGTAGGTGCATTCATGGCATTCGTGCGGAAATTGTCCTTTTCAAATATAGACACATATTTTTAAAACACTTTCTCACATACATATGCATAGTAATTATATGAACTTACCTGATAATTTTGAGGAAATGACTGTTGTTGTGACGGGTTTGTATTTGCTGCCGGCATACCATTGTTACGATTAATACTTAAGTTCTGCATACTGCCCGACAGTCCTTGCACACTGGCGGCTGCGGCGTATTGCGGATTAGTGGGTGTCACATTACCACTAGGCGCTTGACTTAGTGGCGGCCTCGCTGCATGTGCACCATACTGCGTCTGCTGTGCCAACGATGGTGATGCTGTACGCGAGGAATTTGTACTCAAATCACCGCTGCCACCACCTCCGTTAGTTAGAGGCACACTACCACCACCACCAACAGGTGTACTATTCATGCCAGGCGGTCTCATATGCGGTGGCAAATTGCTGACTGGAGCTTGCGATGCCGTTGTAGCTGCTGTTAGGGGTCTTGCTGGTGCTGGTCCATTAGCTACATTAGATGTTGGTGGCAAAAATTTACTCATATTACTTTGTAATCCTATACCGGGTTGACTCAACAACAACTGAGGCGGTTGCTGCTGTTGTTGTTGTTGTTGCAATTGCTGTTTTTGTTGTAATATTTGCTGTTGTTGTTGAAACTGCTGCTCAGCCGTTGAGAATGACGGTGGCGGTGCGACAATGCCGGCAGTCGCTCCTGGTGCACCGGGAGGATGTTGTGACGCTGCTGGTAAGCCATTCATCAAATTTGATTGCCCCATTGGCGGAGGGCCGTAATTCGTATTCGCATAGCCAGACATATTGAGTTTAGGCTTTGCTTAATTCATAGAACTAAATACACCTGAAAATGAATAGATAAATAAAAAAAAAATCAATTTTAGATAAAATTAAAAAAAAATGCTTTTGAAATAGACTATATTATATATGTATGTATATATTATATTCCCAAATATTACAATTATTGTGGTGAAAGAAACAACAATAAATAGTAGACAGCTGATAAGGTAACCAAATTAACGCCTGCCAGTATTACTCAACGAAAAACTGATAAATCAGTATTCAGAGTTATAATGAGAGTGACACCTCAATGTTTTTAAGTGCTTTAATTGTTACATATGTACATAATATGTATGTATGTAAATGTACATATAAGAATAACATTCAATAAAATATTTTTTTTGTGCACATATAACGGTTGTCAGTATTTTCATTGCACTTGTCAGTAGAAATGACTTCAGAGTGTTTTTATAAAAATTATATTTTAATTTTAAAACATCAGTTTAGCTCAAATACATGTATGTATATACAGGTATACATTTTATAATTAAGTTAATATGCATTTGTTTTCATACTTCATTTTACAAATAACAAAATTATGGCAATTTTCAATTCTTAAATAAAACAAAATTAAAATCATTTAAAATAAAATATGAATAAAACTTTCCAGTTATTTTTTTAATTAATTTAAATTAAAATTATTTAAAATGAAATATGAATAAAACTTTCCAATTAGTTTGCTGCTCTAATTAGTTTAATTCATATTTTATTTTAAATAATTTTAATTTAAATTAATTAAAAAAATAACTAAATTGAAATTAAAAAAAAAAAATAACAAAATACAACCCCTGCGTGTTAGGGGTGCGAGAATTTAACCGCGGTAAGGCATGCCTGTCGTAAGAGGCGACTAAAATAAAATAGCTCCCGCGACAGTCGGGTCTTTATACCGTGACGACCTGGATTTTTATCCGGCCAAGGACTGTCACTCCCGCAACATTCCCCAAAAAGTACTTTGAGGAATTTTTTTGCGGTTACAACAACAAAAAATACAATTTTTCAAGATATTACTTTCATTATCGGTTGCTGAAATCTTCAATATTAATTATAATGTACTTATTTAGTTAAGAATTTATTACATTTTATGTTTATCTCCCAAAAAAAACCAACCGAAATGATGAATTTCAGCTCTGTTCTGCAACTTAATTTTATTATGCAACAAAAAAATAGAATAAATATTTCAAAGCTTAAAAACTTTGAAAAACACATTGGCTTAATTAAAAAAGAAATACTTTTAATTATATTAGAATTAGTGATTTAACTGTGTGCCAAAGGTTAAAAATGAGGAAAATTGTGTATCAGCTCTGCTGAAAATATTTTATTACATCATATCATATCACATAACAAGTCAACGAACTGTAAATTTCTTTAGAAGCTTTTATATTAAGAAGAAGAAAAAATACGATAAAAAATAACGAATAAAAATACAAACGTAGACAAAAATTTGAGCATAAATCACGGAATCATAATAAACTTGTGCTCAAAACAGATTTAATATTGAAAAGTGACTACTGACCTTGGCCTTAACCCAGCAATAGCTGATACAAAAAATTCACTTGTCCTTACGTGTATACTTATAAAAACAAGTTATGCATACTTAATTAAAAAATAATTATTTTTTCCATTTTCTATGCCAAATTTTTTATACGAAATTAGTTGTTTCAGCGTTAGCATGCAAATTAAGTGAACATGCACATAGTATATAACTGAATAAACTCGCTGCAAACACATGCACACATACATATGTATGCACATACCTAGGTCTAAAGATAAATATATAATTAATAAAAATAATAAGGAAGTGCACATATTACACACATATATGAGCTGCATCAACGATAACCATTCTTTGAAGATGTTTATCTAAAAGAACTAATTAAAACAATATAATTACATAATTAGAGCTAAATATAGTTTGATATTTTATTAAAAATATTTACAATTTAATTTGTAGAATACCGTACAGGAATTGTGATTCTAATTGTGGTAAGTCACGCATAACTAGTCTCAACTATAAATAATTGTTCTATGTTTTACATACATATACATACTCATATATATGTATAAACATAATATTTGAATAACCTGCATGGTGACTGGCAAAATACGGGCACATAATAAAGATGGCTAACCTACTTTTGCCTTTTGACCCCAACCAGTTCGCATATTTTTTCTTTTGGTTTTACAGTTTCTCATTTCAAAATGTGATTACAAACATTTAATTACGTTGATTGAAGTATACTTTACTTCCTGGTGTGTCTGTCCACTTTATGAAACGTATAAAACGACACGAAAAATTCATATTGTTGCAGATAAATGGTAATGCACAAAGGGAAGCTTAAACACACGTAGGCAGTGAAGTGTCACAAGCTCATACAAATGCCTACAGACATTCTGAATACTTTTTAAACGATTTATCTTTAAATTTTTGGCGTGAGCATATCATTCTTATATACATAACTGCTACTTGAATATACACAATATAGATATGTATGAATAATGCCAAAACTTTAGTAGCAACATATTATCTTTTTAACAGATCTCGCACCTAATCTGTGAGAAATAATAATTGTGCAAACTTCAATTTGTGAGTGATAAGGGTTTTGATAAGAATATATTTAAACTTTTTATAATGACAAATTTAAAAAACAACGGAATATATGTACATATATATGTATGCATATATTTTCTATTATTATTTTCATCGATAAGATGTTGAAAACAGAATACCATGTAGTTATACAAAATTTTTATGAATTGGAATAAAAAATTATATGAATGTATATAAACGATTTCAGTTTCTTGTTAAGAGCCCAGTAAACAATCTCTACATTTCATTTTCAATTAACTGCAATTATATGTATTTATGTCCAGCAAATAAACAAATATATAGTTGCATTGTATATACACACATCGTTGCCGAAAGTTGCTTTTTTATACTTATATTCATATGCATATGTACATATGTTTGTATGTACTCAAATAAATCTATCCGCATATGTAGTAACATTTTCTAAAGTTCAATTTTCATACACCCAATGATTATTCACCAGATACTCAATAACTCAAATGGATTTACTCTTATAACAAATTGCTATTATTTATTAATTCATGAGTTGTGATCAAGATTGATAACTTTGCAATTGATATAAAAGAAATGCATAATGCATATGCACATGTATGGCAAAAAAATCGAGGATATTCGCTTTATAATATGCATAGAATCATATGTATGAATATGTAACCGGTTGGATGTCTCTTACACCAGTGACGACAACATGGCTATGACGTATGACAGGAAAATGTTTAGTTATGCTCCCCAATGCACAATGCTGGCACTCCTTTTGTTGCTTGTATTATAAAATGCCAGATGACGTACTGGACGTTTATGACAACTGCTTTCGCAGTATGCATTACATTCTTGTGTCTGGCACGTTTGCTATTCTGCTTTCACATTTCCCTTGTTGATTCGCAGAACCACAAAATGATTAACACGAAGAGCGAATATGTGTAGATTCAGAGGAAAAAAAAAAAACGAAAAATCACTAATGTGAAAGGCACCAAATCTATGCAGAAGAAAGCAAAGATTTCATGTAACTGCCACTATGTACTGTACACCTTTCCATGCATCCAGTTGTCGACGACGACTACGGAAACCAGCTCAATTGGAGAGTTAACAAACATACTTAAAATAGGAAAAGTCCGACAAACTTAACACTGGTTTAGGTTTAGGTTTGATTCTTCCAAGAATTCTATTGTATAATTGATTTGACTCATATATGTGTTTATAAAGGATGAGCTTGCGAATTAGACTTTGTAACTTAGGTCAATGTTCGGTTCACCATTCATCCAGTTAGCATGAACAGATCGCATGCAATTGGGTGTAGTACTTGTCATGTACATATGTATATATTTTATTTTTCACAACATAACTTTCGAACTGCCAAGTTTTGCGACATTTCACCAAGTTCACATATAATGGCACATATCTGGCGTATAGTTATTAACACAGAAATATCTTCGCAAATATTCCTTTTTTTTTTGGGGCACTTACACTTTTCTTCGCTGCTTTTGTTCAGCGAAATTTTTTATCACCACCTTTTGAGAACCAGGCGACAAACTGTAATATTCAATAAATAGATAAACGAGAATTAAATGTATTCTTTATTTATTGCAATATTTGTTTTTAAACGCACCGTTCTACAGATATATAAGGTTAAATAAATTTAATTAATTCGGAAAATTAATAAACTGACACCACAAAATTGGTCCGATAAATTTTCATTGAACTGCAAATGCAAAGCAAAATGCAAAGAGAACGAAAGAGATTAAAAAAAGAATTAGCAATTGGACACAAATTTTTCAGCAAAAATTGACGTGGCCTTCGGTGATGCCATACCAGATGATTATTTTCGAAAAAAAAATTGTGTTGAAATTTATTGCAATTGCATAAAATATTTGCAAAAAATACTTGAAAAAATGTAAAATATATTCAACATAGCTAAATAAACATGTATCATATTTTATTACATTTATAAGGGAAAAAATAGAAAATTTAATAACCCAATTGCTTTTAGCGCCATCTAGTGGGTTGTAGCTAAGACTGTGTGCCGGTAGCAGAGAACGTTAATCTAAGTTTTCCGTTGGTAGAGTATATAAAAATCGTTTAAAAAATTTATTGGAATATACAACATTCGATTGTCTATAAATGACAATTTTTCGGCATGAGTGTGTGTTTTATCCAATATAAAAGGGTGAGGAGTTTCAATGTTATCATATCCAAATCGGATCTCATCTTATCAAACTTTATTTTTGCTTGTTCTTACCACGGCGACCGAAAGAGCCAAGTGTTTAGCAATGCGTGCTTCATACGGAAGGCCAGATATCGAGTTCTCTTTTAACCAACATCCAAATTGGAGAAAATTTTTTTCTCTAACTCCGGTTTCCCCCTCGGCTGGGAATGTCAAGCTCTGCAAGTGTATTTTTGATATTGAATAAAAAAAAGAGAATCATAAAAATCCAACTGTCATTTGGAGGTGGCTTAAAATAAACTGTAGATTCCTTTATATCTTAAAAAAAAACATTGTTGTTATATTACATTTTGTTTAACCCCATGTTGAGGCAAGTAAATTCAACATCGGTTGATATAAATTAATAAAAAACAATAACAATTTTTCTACCATTATTGATTTATTGATTTCTGCATTACTTGGTGATTTGATTTCATGGTATAAGAGCCAGTTTTAACAAGATTTTATTGCTTAAACTATATTTAATTACTTTTTTTTTGGAAAGAATGTATGCAAACATAATTATTTTCCCTTAAGATTAGTAAAATTTTCAAATTTTATTTGAAAAACATATATATATATATATTTATTCAAATGTAATATTACATTACTTGATTATAATGTAATGTATAAATGCTTTAAACTGGCATAAATGTGTGTGTATATGCATTTAGCAGTTAAATTATTATTACTTTCTTCAGAGCATTAAATGTTCACTAAAAGTGCAAGTTAAACGATTTTTCTTTTTTTTATTTTTTGACTGTTTAAACACCCGTTTTGCGTTCCTGCTTGTTGTGCTGATTGTTATCATATTGGAGTTAAATGTTTCACTGTTACTAATTATTAAATCTCATTTGCTACTAATTCATGTATATATGTATGTGTCTATTTATAGTTTAATATTTGCTTTTATTTATTTTATTTTCAATTTTAAGAAACTGTTAATGTGGAAGCTTGCACTAAAAGTTTATTTAATCTTTACAGTCATGCCTTATTTGGGTTTATTTGAGCGGTGTTTGAGTAATTCTTTCAAGAGTGAGTTTATGCAGTTTATCTCCACATATATATGCATGTATGTATTAATATACGTTAGATGCTATATATTTTGTGCTTTGTTAAAAAAAAATTTAATACAACAAATGAATGATTAATTTTTATATATATGTATATAATATAGTACGATAAATAGAACTAGTACAATAAATAATTAATACTTTGCAATTTGTAAAATTATACGTGTGTTTGTATGCTTGTATTTGAATATGTGCGTTCAGCTTTCTTCAAACTATTTAATATGTAAAATACATTTCGAAAGCATTTACCAATTACATAGAAAAAACACAGTATGTCTATATTGTAGTTTGAAAGCATTACTAATTCAGCTACCCACATACTCGCATGTATGTATTGGCTTCGAATTAAATTCTCAATAAAATAATTACACCAAATAGATGAGCAAATATTAATAAAAAATAATATATTTAATGCCATAATTTATTGAAAATTATTTATAAATATGAAAGTGCTTATGCATAAATTTTCAAAATTATATATATGTATGTACATTGATTCAATTTTTTGCAATACAATAGCAAATTTTGCATATATAACTTCAATAAAAAAAACGACAATAATTAGAAAATTACTTAACCTATAAATAGAAAATTCTTGTTCTTCTCTTTAATACATATCTGATGATGCACTGAATGAATAGAGCTTATTTAGAATTTCAAAGCTGTTGCTTTGGAAAATGCTTTATGTACTAAAACTGTTATTTCAGCATTAAAAACAGCATGTGTATGTGTATATGTGAATGTATGTATGTATTGTTGCCTTATTGAGGTTGGAAAAACGCCTGCTACTTTTTTGTTGCACTTTATTTTGCCTTTCAACTTTTTATCATATTGTTAATGTTATTGCTAAAACTACAAGTCTGACTGCAAATCGTTGTTCTTGTGTATGTACGACTACACTACGACTTCCATTCAATATTTATTAAATACATACTTTATAACTTACAAACTAATGTGCGACAATGTTTTTGTTTTTATTTTTATTTATTTTTTTTTTTAATATTTTTTTATTGGAATATGCATGCTCGTGTTGAATAAAAATACGCATAAAGTATAATCTTTAAAAAACATACAATTTGTGTTGGTGCATGTCATGGTGCATTTTTTTTTTTGCTTTTTTCTTTTTGTGCCACCTATTTGCAGTTGCCTATACTGTTATGGAAAATACATCATGTGGCTACGATGCATGTTGGTGGGTGGAAGCGATATGACGTTCCTTAAATATTTTTCATTTATCCTACATGCAATTTTGCAGCCTACACAATATACTATGTACGTATGCTTCTAAATTTAACTGTGAGTATATGTATGTATATGCGTGTATATAATACGTATGCAAGTAAATGGTCACAACACTAAAAAAAATATGCGTAAAATGCTAAAACGCTTAATCGTTTAATTTACCACTTTGCCTTGCCATCCATGTCCTCACCAACTGACTAACAACTGTACTATCTCTGTTTTTCACTGGCTCACGTTTTAGTGTCGAAATGTAAATATTATGAATTTCTGTTTGTAAATTTTTTATCATTATTATTATTTATATTTTTTTAATTTAGTTTAAGTGAAATAATAAACTGCATTTTTTATATGTATGTATGTATATGTACTCGTATATATATATATATTAATTTTGCGCTTTTCAACAATTTCAACAATTTGTATGCATTTGCCAACACTTTTTTTTCCCTAAGTAAAAATTTATCATTTTATCGACACTCACGTTTTCTATCGCCACCATTTAAAACATATTTCATCAGAGCCCTAACTGACAAATACCCCTTTCCCTAAACTAATGTACGCGGTATGCTAGCTAGATAGGCATCCTTTTAGAGTGTACAATACTCGGTTAGTATCGGTATCGATTTCAGCAACTCATTAATATTGTTCTCTTCCAAATGCGTCACTAGCTTGCTGGAGGTGCGTAATAGATTATTAAAATTTTGCAAATTTTCCACAATCTCCTTGGTCATTGTATCCGATGATTTACGTATCAATTCAGCCAATTTCTTGCCCACTTCATATTTAATATAAATCTCTTCGAGATTAACATCATCCGTTTTAGCCGCATTGCTATTCGTTAAATAGACCACAGACAATATACATAAGGCAATTAGAGCTTCATTTTGCATAACTAAATGTTGTGATGTCAACATATTGATCATAGCCTCAACGGTGCCCTCATTGGCGATGAAAGCTTTCAAGCTACTGCGATCGTAATCCTCCGGCGGTAGTTTGTCGGCGAAATGTTCGACTGGCGCATCGCCTTTACGTGGCAACGCGTAAGCAATACGACCCAAATAGGCATGTTTGATCAGCCAAGCCATTAGCCGTAGGGATTCGCCTGTGACGCCAGCATAGTCGGAAGATCTACTCCAATGCACCAGTTGCTCGATGAGTGTCTTATTGCGTAGGAGTTCCAAGGCAAGTTTCTCTGTAAGTTGAAATTAAAATAAAAAAATAAAAAATATATATATATATATTTTTTTTTTTTTTAATAAATCATACCTTGCCCATCCACAGTCATACGCAATGTGCCAAGCAGTTTGAAAACTACTGGCGGTTGATGTATCTCCAACATCGGCAGTATAGTTTCGACAAGTCCCGCTTGTATTACCGCATTTTTATTTAGTTTCGGTATAACGAGATTGCGTAGCGCACTAAGAAGTGCATGTTGTAGACGCACATCATCCTTTACGCCATTATTTTTGGCCAAGACATCGAGTAATTTGTTCATAATCTTGTTATTCACCATATAAATGCAATGACTGTCTGTACGTGCGAAATTGCCTAAGGCCAGCACACCGGTGGTGAGAAGGTCGATATCCTGTGAGTCGAGCCAATCTTCCATGCTCTTCAGAAGTGGGGTGGAGTATAGATAATGCATCGATTCGTCTGTGGAAGGGCAAAAAGATAATTGCGATTAGTTTTGGTTTGAAATAAATATTTTTTTTTATTTTTTTAAATTTATTAATTTATTTAATTTTTCATTTATACCAGTTTGCTAAACATAACGTTTTTCATGTATACATGAACACAATGACATTCGCATAGGTAATTATTCTTTTTGAAGAATAATTTTTTGGTGTTTTTGTAGCGATTCGCCAGTCCCACTTATGATAAGCGTTGGTTAAGTCGGAGTCAAGTCTGGATAGGTAGTAATTATCTCAATTATGCTAGTACTCAGTACGAGCTCTTGGTCTACAGTAGGTGTTGGTCGAAATTCCAAGAATGTCATTCACTGGAAGAAAGAGAAAAGGTCTTGACGGTTTCTCATTGAATGGCGTATAAAGACTGTCGGTACGCCGTTCTGTCCAACGGTTCTTGTATATGGTGATGTTATTGTTGTTGTTGTTGTTGTTGATTAGGTACAGGTTTGATTAATCTAAGTCGCCGAGGTCATCGAATGGGAGGTCCAGGAAACGAGCTGTTTCGACCAGAATGGACCAAAGGGAGGAGGGGGGGTTAGATGAGTTGGTTTAAGGGAGCATGTGAATAGTTGGTTAGTGGCGTGCGGAGAATCTCCACATGCAGGGTATACGTTGCATATGCTAGGGTCGAGCCTGGATAAGTAGGAGTTTAACCTGCTACAGTATCCAGATCTGAGTTGTACCCTGCGGTAACATCCCAATAGGAACTGCTTGCTCAGCAAAGCTTTATGCTCCTTAAATCATAGCATAGATGCTTCTCGCTGTGTAAGTGATGCTCCGGCGACATCAGGAGGTTTCCTGTCGCAGTCCTGAGGGCGGTGTTCTGGCAAGCCTGTACCTTCTTTATTTGCGTCTCGTTTGTCCCCGGCGCCCAGATCGGTGCAGCATAGTTTACGACCGGTCGGCCAATTGCTTTATAAGTTGCCAGCAAAGTTTCCTAGCCTTTTCCCCAGGTGCTCCCGGCTAGCGCTTTGAGTATTTTCGGCTCTGGAGTTTCGCGGCAATTGGGATCGTATGCGCAGTGAAGGAGTGCAGGCTGCCTAGTGCCACTCCCAATATCTTTGGGTTATTTGCAGTCGGAGTTTTTATGTCATCGACCTTCACATCTAGTTCAAGCCTGTATCCCTTCGTCCAGCCGGTGAAGAGGGTAGCCGAGGATTTAGTCGACTGTATTTTCAATTGTTGTGATGTGAGGAAGTGAGAAAGATCGGCAAGGTAGCAGTTCACTTTCGAACAGAGGTTATCAATAACCTAGCCAGACGCCATTATCGTGCAATCATCGGCATACGTGGTATCTAGCCCCGCTTAGGTCAACAGGTAACAGGTCTATGGTCTGTATGTCATGGATGTAGTCTAGAACTTAGTTCCTGATGTGCCTGAGGGGATGTTCGGCTTCAAGTAAAAAAATGCTTCTTAGCTTGGAACATACATAGATGTTTAACTGCGTAAGTAATGCGTCTGTCACATCAGGAGGTTTGTCGCTCCTTTGACGTAAGAGAACTCGGGCTTTCGAATGAGGCTTCCAGTAACCGTATGTTATTTTCTGTGGGAATTATAACGTCATCGACTTTCACATCGAATTCGGACTGGTACTTCTTCGTTCAGCCGGTGAAAAGGGTGGCCGAGGATTTCGTAGGTTGAATTTGTAGTTGTCGTGCAGTGAAGTGGTGGCAAAGGTCGGTACCTTCACATATAAGTTATAAATCCATTATTATTGAAAATAAGCCAATATGGAGCAGTCATCGGTCTAAACGCACAAATTATACAGAAGCTGAGAACACCACTCTGCGGAATGACTTTTTTGTTTCTACGAAGTTTGGTAGTTTGGGTAGTTCAAGGTCTACCTCTCCTGCCCTAGGCGATAATAAGGAACCCTCAATATCTTTTGCGACAGCGCCGGTTTTGGTTGACACCATGGACTATCTGGGTGTATATGGTAACTCTCTCGACAGCCGGTTCTATGTAGCCTAGTTGACCTGGATTTTCTCCGACCAAGGCTTCTAAAGACCTCTCGAAATCATTTTTGAAAAATCTTAAATAATAAAGAAATTCCTGTACTTACCTCCCGTGAGTATCAACACAATCAATTCGCATGCCAATTTCATGAGAGCACGCGCCTCACTGGTACTCGCCAAAGTCTTATATTTCTCAAGCAAATTATAGATCGTCTCACACAAACCATCTTTGGCCAACAATAATTTCACATCATCATTTTCCGCCTGATAATGCAACAGTTCAAGGCACATTTCCGCTAAATCGGGATTTGTGGAGGCAGCCAAAATATGTGATAATTGTATATTAAGATTCGCATCAAAATTCAAATCGGCCACATTTTCGGTGAGTATGCTCAGCAAGGGTAAGGTATTCAAGAGTAAATCCTCATGTTCCTCAACATTACCCACACCGATTGTTATGATCTGCTGTATCTTTTCCATAATTTCCAACTCCATAGCGCGTTTAGCCAAACCCTCACCGCCGAGCAGATAATTCGACAGTAGACCACCACGTACTTTTATAAATTGCAACGCATTCTCCTTGTCACCGATTTGCCTTATGTCCAACAATCGCAATAGCACCTCATCGCCATTCAATTCGAGTATTAGATCACGCGCCTCATCGTTCAAATAGCAGATATTACCCAACGCACGACAAATTTGTATGGGCAACTCCATATTTTCATCCGCCGATAGTTCGCGCAGACATTTCAAAAACACTTCGATTATTTCACGTTTTGTGAATTTCTTCCGTTGCACTTCGGATTTTGTGATCTCCGCTATACATTTGGCCGCCTCCTTCCGTATGTTCGATTCCTTTGATTGGGCTAAGGTCATGAAGAGATCGGCCAATTCGTGTTTGTCGAATAATTTTGGATCTTTCGTAGCGGATATTTTGGTAAGCAGATTGTTGGTCTTGTCGCTGCTGTCGCTGCTACTGGAATGCGTCGGACACACCGAGGTGGATTTTAATTTCTCTATTAGATCATCGATTTCGCCTGCAGTTGGGGAGATGAGAATATAAAATGTGAATTAGTAAATTTAAATTAAATTTTAATAGAAAAATTTATTGAAGTTGTGATTTATGTGCATGCATTTATAAATATCCTTATGCTCGTCCTAAGTATGCCTATAAATTACAATTTGTGAATATTTCTTATTGCTTTCTGAGGGCATATTGCTTATGACCTCATCCGCGATTTGGCATGCAACTTGTTATGTCACTCAACCAGACAGACATACGAGTATGTAAGCCTAAAAATATGTATTAAAGTTTGCAAATAACCAACGTTGCATGTTTTCGTGAAATTCCAATAAAATTTTGTTATTCATAATAAGTTTGTTGACCCATTTTCCCGGCGCATTAGTAGAAATTACTGTTACCCGCAAATTGCATGCAACCTAAAAGTGTGAAATGATTTTTATTTTTTTTTTTTAATTTATTTTTCACATTTATTATAACCTTTTCTTCTTCATAAGTGAATAGGTGACTTCTTCTCTTTACTGGTTGACACCAATTGGAAACACCAAATGTAAAGGGTTGTCCAATAAGAGCTGCTATTTTGTATAGGCTGCTATTCCGGTAGATGTCTCCTTTGAGGCTACAATTTTTTGACAGTTGGCAACTAAAAACTATAGCCAGTAACAAAAATAAAACGAAACTCGCTTCAACATCTCAAGGAAATTATTCAAATTCACTTTAAAAATGTTGAAAATCTGCAGATTTCCGTTGATACCAAAACACTTTTCCGCCATCGTGAAGCAACTTGTCGGAACGCAATACAGAAATTGATGGAAAAAATGTAGCTGTTGGGGAAAAGTTTGTGATGTGAAGAATAAAACACCTACACGTCGCTCAAGAACAACTGAGAATATTGCTGCTCTAGCCCAAAGAAACCCCAATTTTGGCCATTCTTCGTTTTTTTTTTTTTTTTTTGAATTGGGCGATCCATAAATGTCATTACAACGTATTTTGCATAAAGATTTGCGTTTTGAGGCGTATAAAGTTCAGTTAACACAAGAACTCAAGCTGATTGGGTCCTTGACATGCATGAAAATAATCCGAAATTTCATCGAAAAATCATCTTGACTAATGAGGCTTATTTCCATTGGGATCGTTACGTCAATAAGGAAAACTACCGCATCTGCGGCTCGGGATATCTACGATTTAGTGTTGGAAAGCCCACATACCATTCTCAACGTGTAGTTGTTTGGTGCGGTTTATAGTCAGGCGGGATCATTTCGACCTTACTTTTTCGAAAAAGAGATTGGAACAACAGTTACTGTGCTATCGAAAGATGATTATTGGTTTTTTATGTTTGCAATTGGATGGTATTGATCTGGACATTCTTAACTTTCAATGAGAAGGCGCTTCATGCCACACAAGCAACGAAACCATCCATCTTTTAAGCACGCCAAAAATCGCTTCATCAGTTAGAAAGCACCAAATCCATACAATTGCAATTAATTCAAGGAATATTAAGGAAGTTTGTAAGTGTTTCCATTTTGCAAATTTCTGGTCTGAAGAGCTTAGTTCAAATTCCAATATTTCAATATACCAACTAGGACTCGAGCCCTGGACTTCCGCAAAGCAGTACGCAATGCTTACTAATTTATAAAAGCTCTTACCTTTTGAATCTGAAGTGTTTCATTATTGTCAATTTTAACAAAAAAGTTGAATTTTTTTGTAAGAGTTTCGAACGCTTATAATTGTAAACTAAAAAATTCTCGAAAAAAAAATTTTAAAAAGAGATTAATTGCCTTAACGTTTAGGTATCACATCCAAGAACTAGACACCTTTAGTTTGAAAAATGCATTTTCTATAGACAGTTTTGTACAGACACCAATTAAACAATTCTCAAACACAAAAGTTCAACTCTAAACTACCCAACTTTGAGTGGTCATGCCACCGGAATGCGCTGTTTGATTATATCGGAGTAAAGCTTTTCTGATGAGCTAAGGTATGTTAAATAGAAAAAATTAACAAAAAATTTCCTACCTGCAACTTTAAATTTTTCTCTAATGCGCGTGCTTAGAGCACTTTTACCCCATTCTGCGGCGTTGACAATTTTTTTGAAAAGCTTGTGACTAATTAACTGTATTTTTTTGAACAGCTATAAGCTGTCATTCTTAGCTTGCTTTAGGAAAAAAGTGGGTGCATTAGGACCTCCCATCAGAGTTCCTGGCGCTTCTGACGCGTCACCAAAGACGTGTGTGGCCTGGCGTTGTCCTTATGGAACACAATTCCGCCTCTGTTGATCAAAGATGGCCTCTTCTGGATGAGTGCTGCCTTCGAGCGGTAGATTTGTTGACAGGAGAGGACCAAATTGAGCATTTGGCCATAAGGGAGCAGCTCGTGGTAGATAATTCCTTGCCAATCCAACCAAACACACAGCAAAACCTTCCTGGCCGTCAATACGGTCTCGGCCACCGTCTAGGAAGCTTCTCCGAGCTTTGACCATGACCTTGTGCGCTTGATGTTGTCGTAAGTGACCCAGCAATTAAATAAGTGCTCACATGACGTTCTGTTTCCACTATTTCCATGATTTTTTCGCAATTTTCGACGACAGGCCTCCCGACGAGTGGTGCATCTTTGGCATCGAAATTACCGGAACGGCACCTAGCAAACCACTTTTCTGCCACACGTTCGTTTCCAATATGAGGCCCATAAACTAAATTAATTGTTTCAGTCGCTTTGGCTGCTTTTTCGCTTTGATCGAAGAAAAATTGTAAAATATAGCGAATTTCTCTTTGCTGGTGTCCATCTTTGGCGAGCGCTCACAACGTACTGAGTCAACCTATCGAAAAACTGTGGAAGACAAACTTTTGGCGCGAATAAACATGTTTTCAGCAATAACGCCATCTCTTCGATAAAAACCGAACGAACTTTTTACTTGACCTAATATTTACCTTCTGTAAAAAAACGACGGTTTTGGGGCAACCCAATAGTATCCATGGCACACACTTTCATTGTGTAATCTGCAATTTTGTTAAATTTGTTTGGGAAAGTTTTTGTTTCTCTTGTTCCTAATCCCCTAATTAAGTCCTTAAAGTCATTTCAAAAGTTCAACGAGTCATTAAAACTGTGATAAGCAGTAAATAAAGGATAATACAGACATACGAATATGACGAGCCATTCGCCACAAATACACACATAATGGGTTGAATTTTTAGAAATACATACATACATATGTATATGCGTATTTTTAAGTAAGTACATGTACATACATATGTACATAAGTCTGTACATACATAACATATGAATATTTTGATTTCTTCCGATTTCCACAACTAGAATACACACATTCCTTGACTTGGCTTAGTCCGCCGTATGTATGTATTTATTTACATTATTGCGCATCATCAGCCTGAACTAACTGCTCGCTGTTGGTTGTTGGCTGCTGGTTGTTGGAATTGGTGAATGTGTGTATGTGGATGTGTGTATGTTACAAGTTTGTTCAAACAAACAAGTGCAAATAATCACAAACCTACAATGATATTAACATCTACACCTAAAATCGTGGCATGTGAAACATATATGTACATACGCACACACACACACACATACACACCCAAATATGACTAGCAACTGTGCCAGCAAAACCAGCGCCGCTCAGGAGGTGGAGTGTTGGTAGTGGTAGAGGCTGCAACCTCATTCGCATTTCATTTGTGCGCATCGACGCCTCGCAGCTCATCTGTTGGTGGTTTGCATTCACACTCGCCTGCTTTACACCATAATCATGTACACACATACATGCTTACATACAAACATGTAAATGAGTATATTGTTGGGTTGGCTGTTGAAATGTCCTCGTTCATCTGCAAGCATACAAATTTCCTTGCTTAAGTGTGACCGAACGACTTGAGTGTGCTGCTTGGGCTGCTACCTCTGTAGGGTCGGGTAAGCGAGGCAATGTGATGAGGTAAATGTCGTTAGTCTATCTATACTTCGTCGTTTGTAGATGTATACAGGTTCGCCCAGTAGAAAGTTTAAAGTGTACAAAGGTAGTCACTGAAAGGACTCTCACCAATAGAGGTGAGAGACGAGTGGGGCTGATGGCGGTTAGAATGCGAAGTTTTGCTAGCCATATTGTGAGGGACAATATTAATTTCTTTGTGAATGATTTCCTCACGACTGAAACGAAGATATGCTCATCTGAAATGACAAAACGTATTTCCATTTGGTTTCAGATGGTACACCATTTACCATTCCCTTTCCCTTCTACCGGCACCCTTCTCCTCTCCATTGATATATTTATCATCGCTCTAGCTTGTTTAGTTCGCCTGCTTTGTCGTGTTGAGCAAACATTGTTCATCCACAAAGAATTTCTGCCACCGGGGTAAACCGTAAATCAAGTCTACTAACGCCAAGTACTCGAAAGATTGCGAAAAGTAGCCTACAGACATCGCCCGTAACTGGATCCTTCATCACGACAACGTGTCGTGCCAGACCGCCCTAAGCTTGTCCCAGTATTTGGCCTCTAAAGAGAACGCCGTGTAGCAACAACCGCCTTATTCGCCCGATATGTAAACCTGTGAATTTTTTTGTTCCCTAGAACAAAATCGGTGGTCAAAGTAACCATTTTGAGTCCATTGAGGACATCCAGGCGGTCGTGACGGGGTTATTCGAGGACAACCCATTCGAAGCGTTCCAGAAATGTTACGAAGCATGGAAAACGCGCTGAAACCGTTGTACAGCTGCTTAAGGAAGCTACTTTGAAGGGGATAGCAGAGTTGTAGAATAATTTTGAAATATACGGTTGTTATGGAATCAGTCTCAATACTTAATTGTCACACATCGTAAGAAAAAACTTGAAGATTATCCGTAATCAAAGCACGAACAGCACGCTTCACTTTTCCCGCAACCGCACGAAACAGATTATTCTCTACGTCAATATGTCTAGCATCGATCCCAGTCCCAGTTAGTCTAGTCACTAAATAGTGAAAAACATAAAAACATTCAGAAAATTATATCAAAACTCGAGCAAAACTCTATATT